AAAAAAGGCAGGTGGAAGAACATTTATAGTTTTTGATTGGAAAGTTATTTCGATCTGAGGTTTTCCCTATTCAATAGAAGGGAACCGGGGGCACATACCTTTGTGGAAAAATGGTCACTCAAAGTACCTTATCAGGTGAGCTCTCGCCGACGAAGTTAAGCATGCGTTAGCGAAGCTTTTTTAGAACTTTTTTTTGTGATATAGGTGCCTCGACATCCCCACCTACCATTGATATCGAAGGAATTTTCTGCCTTTCTTTACTACAAATACTGAAAGTGTTATAACGGTGAAATTACATGTAGGACACTCTTGCTAAAAAACGAAAATTTATTGAAAATATCTGCAGAATACAACTTTTTTGTTATAGTAATCAGTACTAAAGGATTCATTTTTTAGTATTATCGTATTTTTACGTTTAGCTCATTAATGCAGACATGCAAAAACGCTGATATTCAAAATCTTTTACGAAAGAGAATCTATTTTTTCTGAGTTAGATTGATATAATTATTTTTCTCGTAAAATTCCATTAAGACAATAGGAATTTTGTTGTTCTTACGGAGTAACTCATCGAATTCAAATGAATATAAATAGCAAAAGAACTGATGTTCTGTTTTATTCTTCATCATCTGAATCTGTTTCTTCACTATCAGATTGTAAATATTGTTCGATATCTTTCTTCATTATTGCATCGGCTGTTTGATACATTTCTTCAATTCCACGAGCATAATGAAAATACGACATTGCACGTTCATCGTCCATTGTTACCATAAATTGCTCACTCAATAGTTTTACATCATCTGGACGAAATGTTGTGCTTTGATCAGGAACAAATTGCTTGAGATTATTCCATGACAATTCAATAGGATTCAGGCTGCAGTGTAATTTAGGAAGTCGAAATATTTCTATACCGTATTTCTTTCCAATTCGATCAGTCTATTAAAAAAATGTGAAGCACAGCATAGTTTTAACACATTGAAATAACGCTTAAAAGTGACTCACAATATATTCTTTAGGTGGACAATTAGTAGCCACTAGTTCTAACAATTGAGCTTTAATAAATTTCTCCGGGAAATTAATCTTTCTATTTTTCAATCATTTCTGAATTTCTCCCTTCATTGAAGAACGCTTAGGAATTATTGATTCTTCTGTAAGTTTGCTGTGCCAAGTCGCGTTGTCCAGACAGACAGCGATTCTTTTTCTTTCTCCTATGAAGAAAGTATCAAAAATCATTAATGAAAAGCACGACTCAAAATGCGTCAACTTACCAATCTCTTCTCTTAACGTTGCACAAGTCGAATCTAACCACATGAGAAAGTGCATTGAATCCATATTATGATCTTCATTGCATGCCCAAATATCAACTGATGGAATGTGATAACCATTGACGTCTATAAGTGCTGATACTGCCAAACGAGATCATATAAAAGAATAATTTATGGGTAACGTCATGGCTCACCTCTCCCTCCACCTTTTTTAATTTCACCTTCGCCATTTAGAGTCCAAATAGATCGTTTAACTTGTCGAAGATTTATCCAAGTTTCATCATGATAATATAAATGAACGTGAGCTTGTCTAAACTCTTCGAAAATTTGAAAATATTTTGCTCTTGCTGCAACAAAGGCCTGTGAATCAAGTGCAATTCTTATCTTTCATGTTCGTTCATATATAAAACCAAGCTAAAAAGTAATAAACTTCGTGTAGTGTTATTTTCCTTTCATTTTTGTCTGTATGAATATAATATTTCACTTACATGCTTCATCTTTCTAATCGATGTACTTGTCGAATGAATAGGAAAATCATCATATTGTTCTGTTAATCTTTGTCATGCTCGGATAAAACAATACTCGGGCTACCACTATGCATTTAAACGAGAAGAGTTAATTTTCGAACTATATAAATAGCCTTTTACTTTTCTTCTCAGGACATAATGTTTCAGGAACAAGATGATCGATATGACTTGTTGATGGATAGACTGCAGATGCTGTATGCCAATGACAAAGGATTTTAGCTGGTACGTTGTACGTTGAATATTAAAGTCGTTTAGATGTTGGATACACAATATCACGACTACGAAGATTTTTACAACTGTCTCCGCTTTGTTTTTCTCTTCCATCTCTTTTCGTTCCTGTGATACTTTTTTTTAGTTCTTTACATCTTGAATGGTGTAAATCATGTGTTAATCTGCAAACAGACCTCTCTGAGATATTTAACATTCTAACAAGACGATCTTTCACATTATAAAGAGGAATAACTGCACCATTCTTCTCACTTTCGACAAAATCGATAACATGAAACATTAGTTGTTTCAGTTCTTGTGAAAATTCATGATCGGTTGACATTATAATTTAATAGATTACCTATAACATAAAACATGTGCATATCAAACAGAAAAGAAAAAAAATGATCAGGACAAACATAGGAAACATATACACTTTTTTCTTCTCATTTTTACCATTCTGTCATTTCATTCTGACCAACATGTAATCGAAGATGGACTAAGCAACATATATATCAAATTGGAAAAGAAAAAACTTTGTTTCATTTTGCTTAATATTGTAAAAAAGTTGTATTCTGCAGATATTTTCAATAAATTTTCGTTTTTTAGCTAGACTGTCCTACATGTAATTTCACCGTTAAAACGCTTTCAGTATTTGCAGTAAAGAAAGGCAGAAAATTCCTTCGATATCAATGGGAAGTGGGGATGTCGAGACATCTATATCACAAAAAAAAGTTCTAAAAAAGCTTCGCTAATACATGCTTAACTTCGTCGGCGAGAGCTCACCTGATGAGACTACTGAGCCTAGTCGAAACGCGTCGTAGGATGCTTGACTGACCCACACCCTCAAACTCGTGCATGCTTTGCTCGTCTCATCTGGCATTTATTTATATTGTCTGTATTGCTAAAGAAAGCAATTAACTCCCCTCTCTCCCTTTAGTTTAGAAGACTCCAGGTCTTCGTATGTGTGCTCGCGTGTCAATTTGTTAAAGTGGCCTTCTCTTTAGAAGAGCCTTGTGAAATGTCATCTGCGACTGGTTTTTATTACTAAATAAAGAGTTCAAACTCTCATAATTTGAATAGTTTTGTTCCATAAAACAATATCAGTATTATAAAAACATACAATATATAAATTTATTAAAAAAAACTCTTTCTATTCCTCTATGTACTGGGAATATGTAACTCTTTCCGGATGAATGTTGCTAAACGGCAACAGCGAGTTTATGACTTCATTGATAACTCTCCCGGATCATTGCATTGTTGATATACTTGACTGTCAATAATAGAATTTTGTTAGCACAAAAACTAGGAAAAAAGCAAAATGTTACCATTTGGCAACATCTGGTTGTGAAGGATCAAAAGCTTGTGAGATAATCACATAAAAACAGTAGACAATACCAAAATATTAAATGATTCTAACCAATTTTCGATCTAGAGCAACAACTAATGGACAGTACGAAAATTTGTCGCGTTGTACAAGAATCGTTAACTGATAATTAATGAAAACTTACACTAATACCTACATCATATTTGTAGTTTTCTTGTATGTACAGTACTCAACCAGAAAAAGAACGCAATTATGTTGTGCTCATCTATATGTTGTTTCATGTTCTGAGGACATCTGTAAGCGAGCCGACTTTGATTCGCGAGCATCCTAGCCTGTCTTCGTAGTATCATAACGAACCGTTGGAACTGTCAATTCAACCAGTCAGAATAAAGGTGAAAGTTATACAGATTTGTTTTTCTGCTGAAATAACTCTTAAAATATAATAAAAGCTATCGCGAATTTCACTCGATCATTTTTTTAAAATGCCTGACAAAAAAGTCGTAAAAATCATATTGCCATACCAAACGGTATGAATAAAGATGTTGATACACTGTAAATAAAAAGGAGCAGTACCGAACCCGTCGAAAAGGCTCCCTAGATTCTAAACGCTTACGAATGCGACGACAAATCGAATGCAATGGATTTCAAAATCCACGAAACCATTTTAAGTTTCGCAAAGCTAAAAAAAAAGGTTTCGACGGGAGATGCGAAACCTCAAGGTTCAGTACTACAGTTTTATACAGAATGATTAAGATTTTGCATCTCCCGTCGAAACCTTTTCGGCGGATTCGGTACTGCACCTTTTTATTTACCGTGAAGTCTCAGTTTTTGGTTATAGGTTTCTTTTTGTCGATCGAAAAAAGTTGTTCGTCGTTATAGACGCAGGAAAAAGATTTTTTGTATTCTCTTACAAAGAAACATGGACACGCGTACAATGAATGAATATGAATCATCTTCTGTTCAAAAGCAAGTAATGTTGCGCTCCAAGCTTGATAAACTTCGAAGTTGGATGAAAACTTTCTTAAAGTGGTAAAAACAAAAGTAAATGTGTAAAACCTCTAATAAAAAACTAGCACACTGTAAAAAAAGGGTAGAATAATCAACCCTTTTTAAGGGTTAATAAACCCTATAGTATATATGGAGAGTATGTTATACGTTGCCCTTTCATATATCCTTAAAGGATTTATTAACTTCATAAACCGCTTTTGTCTTCTACGGTTCTTCTGATGCATATATGCGCAAACCTTTTAAGGTTAGATGAACATTCATCTACCCTTAAAAGGTTTATGAAAAAGAAGGGTTTTTGAGAGAGTATATGACGTTCATAAATCCAAAAGGGGTTCATATCACGACCATCAATTCTTTTGGAGGGTTTATTAGTCTACGCCTTTTTTTCAGTGTAGCCGATTGTTGGACAATATCGGAACCTCCAGTTCGACTGATCAATGAGAACCTGAGTAAAAATATATCCTAGTTTTATGTCGTGTTGATATTAAATTGCAACTTGCTCGCTTTGACGATGGAAGCACTAGTAATGCAAATGACAAAGATCCAGTCGTGGCGTCGTATCTAAGATCTTATATAACCTAGCAGTCCTATACCACCTTGAAAAGTTACGTAAAACCCACACGAAGAATTGTAACATCTAACCATCTTCGAGGAGTTCTGTGAGAGATTTTTCAAAAATATCAGTGTGTTATAACATTACGCAACATCCTACTACGAAGTTTTATGAGCTCATGAGGTTTGTTACAGATTCTGTGTAAGGCTTGTGTAAAATCGTTCGAGACTATGCTGATGTTCGATTTTCGTACCATGCTGTATACATTTCCGAGGTCAGATGTGCATTACGGAGAATTCTAATCGAATTGATTGTGTTCTCGAATATAAGTATACATCATTCATTTGAGACATTGCCAAAAAGTTGAATATTCAGTTTCGTAGACACCAAATAAATACTATCGAATACTTAAAAGCTGTATTTTTTTAATAATAGGAAGTGATAGATGCTTGAAAAAACGGAGCCGACCAAAACGAAGAAATAAAATACATTTTCGTTTTGAATTCTAAAAAGTAGTTAAGAAATCAATTTTTGAGCACGTCACTGAGAGATTGATGAAGTTTTAGATTCATCTCATTTATCTTATACAGCAATCTGCTACTTTAACCGTGTGTCGGACATTCATAAAGTGCTTAGCTCAACGTGGTGATTCACTAGAATTGGATGGTGATCGTCTAGAAATAGTAGAAAGATTGACTTTAAGTCGAACTCTTCCATGACGATAATACCATACTGGAATAGTACTTCTGTTTCCGTTATTCAAAAAAAGATAATTCGATTGTTTACCGCTCGGCAAGCAAGAACAGAAAATTAATGAAAAACACTTCGCGATGAAAAAATCAATAATTATACTCAACTATCAACCGCTTGGGATAAATCATACGCTCAGATTAAACTACTTATATACTTCCTCAGCTTCTCTATTCACTAAACATTATTCATATATTTCAAGAGTAGGGAGAAATATGAATATACATTAAAGTGCACTTCATTTGTTTGCTATTTCAACGATCACTCATTTATTTATTGACATACCTGACAGTATATAATACTTTGTATTCATATACTGAGTGTAGAATTGATCGGCAGAATGCGACGAAGTACTATGTTGTTTGCTATCATGTGTCTTCTGGTGATACATGCCATGGCTTTGGATGAGAGAAAGAAGCGAAGTATTGGTGAAAATCATTATCGAACTATGAACAAACGACAAGATGGTGGCGATGGAGGTGATGGAGGAAACGGTGGTGGCGATGGAGGCGATGGAGGAAACGGTGGTGGCGATGGAGGCGATGGTGGCAATGGAGGCGATGGTGGCAATGGAGGCGATGGAGGCGATGGAGGCGATGGAGGCAATGGTGGCGATGGAGGAAACGGTGGTGGCGATGGAGGAGATGGAGGTGGCGATGGAGGCGATCGTAGACGTCGATACACACACTAGAATATTTTAACAGTGTAGAAAGAGTGTAGTATATCTAAATACTTCTGGTGTAAACATCACACTTTTAGTTCACAGAAAATGTATGCCCATTTTCTCCGGTTCTGTAAGTTAATAAAGAACAGACAGTATTACGGCTATAAATGGAAAAGACTTGTGTGAAACACGATTCGAAAGACAGTATTGTAATGTTTATGAGTAGAAACCTGTACCTACCCTCCCTCTTCCCAGAAACGTTACAGACAGGCTAGAAGCCATATCAGAAACCTTATTGTTGAACTGAATCATATGCTATCTACTTTAACAACAGTGAAAGGATGCTATCCGCTGTCGTATACCGACCAAGGTAATCAAAATATTCGTTGTTTTTTATATTCAGATGCATCATTACAAATACATAAAAATAGCTTGTGCAAAGATAAATGTACACAGAATTTTGCGAAAAACGTTGAGCTTAATATATTTACAATGCGTATACAGAAGAAGAGTGGAAAATAAACACTGTTTCCGTAGGTTTTTTCACACAATTTGGCAGGAGACAGACATCTACAATATATAACTCTGATTTTGTGAGAGTGTGAAAGTGTTTAAAATGACGTTGGCCTTGATAGGCTACACTGGAAAAAAAAATAAGGTATTCGACCAAACCCCTCAAAAAGGTTTCGTAGGCGCTCAACGCTTCCAGATGTGTCGACATATTGGAAAAACTGCTTTTCCAAAATCTACGAAACCAAAAAAGGATCAGTCGATGGGCACACACTCCGAACCATCACCACGGAACCTTTTTAAGTTTCGCACGGTCCCAATAAAGGTTGGTCAGATAATACGGAACCTCAAGGTTTCGCCCTATGGTTTTGTACGAATCTACGAAGGTTTCGTATTTTGCGACGAAACCTTATTGGGACCGTGCGAAACTTAAAAAGATCCCGTGATGATGGTTCGGAGCGTGTGCCCATCGACCGATCCTTTTTTGGTTTCATAGATCTTGGAAAAGCAGTTTTTTCTACATGTCGACACATTTGAAGACTTTTGGGCACCTACGAAACCTTTTTGAGATGTTTGGTCGAACGCCTTAATTTTTTTCAGTGTACGCACATTAAAGAAGTTCTGTACAGCGAAAAGTGTCGAAAAAAGTATCGACCAATGATATCTCACTAATGCATAGGGGACCTCCGTTATATACTTCATATTCCCTCGACTGAAAGGAGGGTCATACGAAAAAAAAATAGTTTGTATGTTTGTCTGTTTGTGTCAGGGTCAGAGGTCAAAGGTCAAAAAAAACATTTTTTTCGAAAAATGCTCACAACTTCATGAAACATCGTTTGGGAGGGATCCTAAGGCTTGAGGTTGGCTGGATGACGGGTGAAGGGGCAGGAACGTGACAGAAATGAAGAAAACATTTCAACCGCGCCCAAGAGGAGGGCTACATAGAAGAGTTGATTACGAAAAAGTAAAAACACATTCGGTTGACTGTCACATACTAAAGGCCACTAATCCAAAAATACATTCATTCACAGGTTACATACTGGAGAGCAATCTTAAATGCTGAGCTTCGATATATTGCAAGTTTTTGTAGGCCTTTAAGCCTTTTAATTAAGGAGATAGCCTCAAATGTTCGGACGCGAATAATTTTATCTATGAGATGCTGATGGAATGCTAATTAATTTTCGATATTTTTTAGTAACACACGGGTAATTATATGATAGATAGGGAAAGCTTTGGAGCGGCGAGTTGTGAGTGGCGCCTGGTAATCTAGCCAGTCACCAAAGTATCAACAATCCGACACGTTCGAATGCGAAATATATAGAGTCTCATTTGGTTTTACCGAAATTATCTTTCTTTTAGAAAAAGGAGGACATGTTTAAAAGTGCAAATCCATAATAGTCATTTATAGCAAACTCCTGCTTCCTGTGAAGAGTAATTGTCAGTCAGGAATATCGAATAATTCAAAGGAACACAAGTGGTATTTTGGCTCTTTTGAAGACTGTGAGGCGANACAATCCGACACGTTCGAATGCGAAATATATAGAGTCTCATTTGGTTTTACCGAAATTATCTTTCTTTTAGAAAAAGGAGGACATGTTTAAAAGTGCAAATCCATAATAGTCATTTATAGCAAACTCCTGCTTCCTGTGAAGAGTAATTGTCAGTCAGGAATATCGAATAATTCAAAGGAACACAAGTGGTATTTTGGCTCTTTTGAAGACTGTGAGGCGAATGAAGATCAGTTTCTGGGGACCCCTTCAAAGGTTATACTTCTGTCTTTTTTTTGAATAAAACGCACATAATACTATTTTACTTTCAGTCAGTGGTTCAGTCGAGGGCATAGCTAGTCTGCCTCGACGAGCGTTACAAGTTGTTAGAGTCTGACCTAAAAATTTTCTGATTAACAGCTCAAAATATTCGAGATAAGTGGCGGGTGATTTGCAGCACAATACTATATCCAAAATCCGTGGCTAAACCGAACCGGAAAGTTGGAAAATGAATCTTGCCATAGGGGGTCTATAATCATGGGACAGGCAATTTTCAGAATTCGACAGCTTTCTTCTGAATTTCCAAGGATATCTAACGAGGATATTAGACTGGTAAATAGGCTTTAGATGAACCTACATCCACATACCGTCGGTCGATCAATATCTCTTGTTGCTCAGCTATCATTACAACCGACAATAGATAACTGCATAGGAAAAGCAGGCAGAGCCATAGCAAAAATGAAATGGCTGAAAAAGAATAAAATCGTCTCGCTCGAAGTCCTACGTAAATGTCTGTTCACATTTACCTTCCCGCATTTAGCGTGGATCTTTCCTCTCTACCCCTTCCTTCCACAAGGACAAAAAGAAGCCTTAAATAGGAAAATCAGAGTCGGAATTCGTATAGCACACAGATGCCCCTACATCGAAGCGAAGGATCTGCATACTGTAACGAAAGAGGAAAGCTTAGAGTTCTATGTGAAAAGGTATATCAGAAAGCAAATAACGAACGCGAATAAAACCGATCTTAGTCTCTCTCCCTTCTTCGAAGATATATTCAAATGGGATTGGATGAAGAAAAAGAAGAATGACGGAGTCGGACACTTTTTCAGAACGAGAAGAGTGAAGAAACAATTGGAGAGGCACGAGGTGCTGCTGATAAAATGGATAGAATTCATAGCGTAAGAACGAACCCCAAGAGTCGAAACGAAAAGGAAGAAAAAGGGAATGAACACATAGCTCCCGGAAAATAAACTTTTTGGACCACGGACTTCTTAGCCTATCTCTCTCTCTCTCCTTCTCCTTTTTATACAACAAGCTGTTGATTTTTGCGTACTTTATTTTGCCCCTTCTCAATCTCTTCAATCATTATACTCTGATTTGTAAGCACTCCCGAGTGTTACAATAAATAGCTAAAACACATATCTCTTGTTGCTGAAATAAAATAAACATTTTCGTATGCGGGTGTCAGGGGGATCTATAATTTTGATACGTCCTGTACAGAAGTGACGGACGGATAAAGTTTGAAGGTCACATTTGTGTCTTTACTTTATCAATATTTTTCTTCAAGCACCTATTTTGTAAATAATAATGAACGTCTTTATTTATTATTTGGATCGATATATCTCATAGATCCTGGTTGAAATACTAATTGTCAAATGAAATGTTTCAATGACTGATCCATTAAGAAAATTATAATTTGTTTTCAAGTAATTTTTGGCCAGCTTCAATTGCTGCCTGATCATCAGCATCGGGTCCACCAAGTTTTGCTAGAAAGTTTTCGAGTTCGACACGTCGTTTCTGTATTGCAGAATTATAGCTGTTTTTGCGTTCCGTAACTAAGCCCGTGACGGCTGCTTGTGTCATTTGTGTCTCTTGTTTCAACTGTGCTAGAAATTGATTTCGTTCATTATCGTCACGCGCGGCAAGCATTTTTGACAGACCAGCCAGACGAGTCATTACATAATTCGTAGACATATCCACATAAGTTCGAGACATTAGATAAAGCATTTGCGTTTGAGAATCAATTTCGATAGCTTGTGCTTTAAGAAGATCTACATAAAAGAGTCGTTCATCCAGTGTCAGTGATTCTGTCCCTGCTTGATTTGCTTGAGTGATAAAAGGTCCAAGAGTACCACTTAAAGTGATTTCAGCACGCGTGGCAATCTCGGCAAAGAATAAAACTAATTGACCCCATTGTTCTCGAACACGTGATAGTAAATGCAACGCTTCACGAAGAAGTTCAAGGATTTCCTTGTAATGAATACGCGTCATATCTAATGAAGCGATTTTGCCCATTAATTTTGCTACTTCTTCTTGATTTTGCTTGAGTTGATCGAAGATTTTATCATAGCGGCTTTCACTTGATTGCAATCGATTTAAAGAAAGTTGTACAGCAAATTTTTCGTTTTGCGACGAATCACCTGGTTCCGTTGATGGGCCCGTAGCAGGCGGAGAAGGAGGTACACCACCACCATTCATTTCCTCAGCTGCTTCCATTGGTTTGGTGTCTTGCGCTAATTGATTAAAACGATTTGTTAGACTTTGAGCCACATTTTGATCAATTTCTTTTCCACTATTCATCGCTTGTTTAACCTGATTAACTGTTTCATCCATAAGACTGACGCCCGTTTGCATCAGTTTACTAGCCTTGTCCTTAAAATTATTGTTCTTTCCTGCTGCGATCGATCCGAGAAATGTTTCGAATGTAACCTTATATGCTTCGAGTTCTTTACTAGGATTGACTGTACTCGAAAGAAGGTTTTTTCCCATATTGAGAACATCGTTTACTCTTGGTAGAGCTTTGCTGATACTTTCTGAGAAGAGTTTACCATAGGTCAATGCTTGTCCTGCACCCATTGACAAAGCTGACTGAGTCCCGCCACCAACTACAGATCCCATTCCGCCAAGATTGCCCTGTACTAAGGTCTGTCCAGCTGTCTTAGTTATACCAATAACAGCACGACCTAAGTCATAGAGAAGACTCTGAAAACCGGTGGGTATCTTTCGAAGAGCTCGACTATATTCTTTCTGTGCTGTTTGAACAGCTTCTCGAGCTTCATTGTAATGCGAACGGATTGTTTCACCTAATTTAGTCATTTCAACTTGCATAGTTCTTGATACGTTCAATTCAATTTCTGTCTGTCTTAGCTTTGTTTCTTGAAGTCCGCGTGTCGTCTCCGTCGTAGCAATTACTTCACCGAGTAAGTTCATCACAGTAAGGAAGCTGACGTGCGTTATATTTGCCAAAGTCACACATGATTTACCAAGTCGTTCGATTTCTTGTAATGTGCTAGGTAATAACATATTAATGATACGCGGTGTCGATTTCTTCGATGCTAGAGTCTGTAAAGCAATTTGAACTTGTTTCGGTATTAATGCCATCGAAGCTTGGATCTTGTTCATATTAATATGTGCTCCCAAAAATGCTTCCCAACCATCTAAGCCAATCAGAAAAAAATTGTAGTCATGATTTTATGGAATATTTTTTACGAAAAAATCCGCTTTCTAATTGTTCTCAGATCGACCTTACCGTTCGCAATTTGAGTCAGTGTAGCCCGAAACGAACTCGGATATCGCATGTAAACAAAAGTGTAATCTGGTTGGTAATCACGAAACGAAAAATCGAGTTTACTCGATACAACCATTAATTGACCAAGCAGACTGACTGTTGACGGTCCATTGATAATAAATCGTTCCCAAGGAAGATCCATATTAGATTGTGATACTAATGCCGAATCCGGATCGATTCCAGCAATAGCATCTATATACAGAAAGAAAAAAGTTAGATTAAATCAGTTAAGAGAACATACATACTCGTTTCAGCAGATCGATAAATTCGGGATCTTTTCCAAAGTGTCAAACTTTTGTCAAATTTGGAAGAATCCACCACAGAACAAATTATTAGTAACGCTAGCAAAATTATTTGTTCTTTATTTTTCGCTCAAAAACGAATCGGACTCACCTGTTAATGAACATACCAATATAATTAGAGAACACATCTGAAAAGAATAACAAAAAATATTTAAAACGTAAGGGTTTTCGATTATGGCACCATTGACAATGATAGGTGACGAGTTTATTTCTCATCGGACAAACGAATAATATCAGATCTGCGAGAGGAACATCTATCACAACTAGTTACTACCTGAGGCCATTGATTCATGTCTATTTCAACTATATGTTCAGACCATCTTCAAACGATCAGTACGGATTTATGCCGACAATTAAAATCCTTTAATGGAAACTCATACACTCAACTAATAAACTATTCGATTGCATGAGATTTTCGCGGAAAGATCAAGTTACTCATGAAATATATTGATTGATACTTGTGATCGTCCTTGAGTTGATTTCAATCATTTGTACTTCACTTTAAAAAAATCAATCAAATCACTCTTCTTCGAGTGAATTGACTGGCAAAAATTATTCGGAAGTAATTCCTATCCGTATTATTTAACATAATCGAACCAATGATGCGCAAAATAAGTAATTTTCATATTTATGAAAAAAGTTTGTCAAAGAAAAGTGTTGCTTTTCTGATTACCATAATTTATATCAATGAGATGCCGTGAATAAATAAGTCAATTAATTGTTGATTTGTGCCTTCGAACAGAAGAATTTTGAAGTAGCAATTAACTCTCACTGTTGTTTCAATCAGATGTTACTGATTTCTTCGATATGGAGAGATTTTAAAGAAGAATACTTGCAAATTTATTTTGACGTACACACTGGCTATTCTTGGGCCTGATTTCAGTAACAATCCGAGATCTTTCTTTCGAAAGAATAAACGAAACTATCGACTTGTAACAGAGTGAACATAATAAGTCACTGATCGATTCCAATGCATAGAGTCTTGTTCTGAAGGAAGAAAACAGGTGGGTACATTAGAAAGTATCGCATTTACATTAATGATCGGAATAAATCAATTGAATGCGATGCATAATGAGCTGTTCTTGAGAAGCAGTTCTCGTGACTAATTAGATTATTTCTATTGGAATACTGATTAATCAAGTACTGCATTCGTTCCTATATATATTGCTAGATTATTCAGAGAATATTATCCATCGCTGCATACCAGATAATAATGAAATCTCTTGGAAACAGCGTGAAAATTGTTGTTCTCCTCATATTGATTATCCATTCGCAAGCCGATGATTCAAGTTGGTATCAAACTTTTTTGAATGAACAAGTTGCTCCATCATATGCCAATGCATATCAAACGTTGAGAAACAAAATTATCAATCCTTTATTGGCATATACGAATAGCAACTCTACTTCAAATGGAACCAGCGCAACAGAAATTGTATCATTGGCACAAGAAGTGACATGTGCAGCAAAGGAACTTTATGCAAGTCTGTCCAATGCATTGAATGCAAGTGAACAACTTAACACTATTGTCGAGAATAAAACATCGCAAGCCATATTAGAAGTCTCACAAAAAGAAAATGAAATTCGGCAAGTCAACGAACAATTAAGCTCGATTGAAGCTCGATTGACCGATGCACAAAATAATGTAAATCAAGCCGAAAATGATGTGAAAAATACAGAAAATGAATTAGCTCAGAGTGATGCACATCTTGCCGACGAGCTGCAAAAACGTAAGACGTACATTCATCACAACTATGGTTTTAATTTGTTCAATTTTAAATTTGTTTTAGTTGAAAAAGCACGAGTCTGTGGACTTAGAAAAAAACGATTCTTACACAAGGTAAGTAACTATTCTATAGCCTTCGAGTGACAAACAAGGTTTTAGAAGAAGAGTTGAATTGATGCTGCACACTTCGTGATAACTATTGAATAAGGACGTCATGTATCAGCAGTATTGTGTAAAAAACAAAGTTCGAAAATCCAAAGATGAATATTTTGATAATGAAACGATGATCTAGTTTATTGTCGCGTTTGAGATGATTTGAAATAAATCGAAGAATTATAGGTTTATTTGTACTATTTCGTTTTTTCGTCGTCTTGATCTTGAAAAGTGTAATATTTTGAAATCAAATGAATGGTAGAGTGAAGATATTATATTAGATAGGACGAAATGATAATAGGAACATCCCAGACTTTTATGAAGATAAAATCAAAAAGATTAAAATATGAGAGCGAAATAGAGAGATTGGTTTGTTTAGGTTTGGAGAGAAATTGTTCGTCGTCCTGTGGACACCGTTCGGGACAAGGTCATTAGTCCCATTGTTAAGCCTGTCATGCCCATTCTCAGTCCTGTTCTTCGTGTTCCTTGCGCAGCACTTAATTATGGAGGTATTAACAGTGCAAAAGATCGTCGAGGAGCTGCTCAAGGTGCAGTGAATGCAGCCAGAGAACAACTGGCTACTCGTCGACAAGAACTTGAGAGACTTCGTGCTGAACGAACTAACTTTCAAGCTCAAAAGTCTCAGGCAACTGCTCAACTTCAATCTCTTACCTTAACTCTTGTTCAATTTCAAGCTCAACAACTGGCTTTAGGTAATATGACACAAGATATGCGAAATGTCATTAAACATCTGGCAGCTTTTGTTTCCAAGTCATCTGTTCTGTACGACGAATTGAAAGATTTTGTTAGCTTTGAAACTTTGATCGAACCATTAAATTCTATCTTGATGGAGCTGATTGATAATGGGGTAACGACCAAGACGATTGCTGGTGCCAGTCAAATTTCGTCGAGTGAAACTCTTTTAACTAGAAACACTATTGACCTTCTTAAAGCTTACTTACCTACTTTATCTTCGGTTGAAAATCTTCTTGCTGCCTGTTAGAATCTCGAAACATTTCAGTTCCTACTCACTCTATATTTATTGCTCTCTTCTATTCCTCGTAAGGAGAACCATGACATTAATTATTACTTTTCAAATAAAGAATTTAATTAGTCGACGAGAAAGAATGTTTTAGAAACATATAATCATAAGAAATGCATTGATTTATATTTTCTAGAAACTAAACAAATGTTGATTCTGTTCATTTTAAAAATCTTGTTCATTGTCAAAGTAATCGGTTATGATGATGTTCAACCCATTGTTGTTCCATCATTGGTTCACGAATTTGTTCTGCCCAAGAATCCACTCGTCAATCCTTTCTACAATCCTCAAATCGATGCATTATCGACTTTTGATACGGTACTTGCAATCAAAGGTCGTTTGACTGGTCGTTCAATTGGTGAGACAGAATAGTCTTCGAAATAAGTTCATAATTTAGTCTTATTTCATTTATAGAAATTGATGACACCGATATCAGCAATTTAGAACAACGTTCAACCATAGATTCTGCATGGGAAAATCTGATTGTGAGCGGACCGATTACAGTAAATTTGTTAGCTCAAGTGATGGTTTTATCTAGCAAACGAGACTTTTCGTTTCGCGATGCTGTGCCGGGCAATATTTTTCAATATGTCAAGTATCCAGACTCATTCCGTATGACTCTCAATCAAATCTCCAATGGTAAGACATACACCATTAATAACCGTAAAACTATCGGTAGATATCTCAATCGTTGTCCGGATGCTCGAATGAATATCATATTTAACTCCCGTTCAGTTCGTTCATATTTTATTCACTAGAGCAAATTGAGTGAAACAAATAGAAATAGAAACTGTATCAATTAACCGAAAAAGGTCATCGAAGACTAATATTTTTCGTTCACAAATAGTAAGAAAATTCTATTTTATATTCTGAACGTAGTCGACTAGATTGGTCTTTCCTTCTAAAAGCTTTGATATACGCACAATAATATTTTTACTTTGAAAATCTCAGAATATAATGTTTCACACTTTTCTATTTGTCTTTATTTCACTTGATATACTCTATTCAATGAGATATGAACGAACGCAATCGAAGTCAGACAATGTATTAAAACTCCAAGTACAAATCTTCTCAATCCAGTGATAGTTATGACGCTAATTCTAGATGCCAGTGTTTGCAGAATTTTTCAGTGATTGATTAATGTAATTTCACGTAATACCGTTATTGTTTCTGAAAAATTCAAATGAATGGCAGACATGGATAATTGTACTTCTTTCTTTTATGTAGAGGGTTGGCGCGCCTTTCTCACAGCACACATCAATATGGATAAACTTCAACTAAATATGCAACGTATTCCAACTCATATCAAGATTGCATTGAGCATATTGTCAACAACAACAACACAAACGTCAAAACAAATTGAAACACAAATGTCGAAAATCTTACAAACTGTTCTAAGAATTGGCAATGATTGTATTAGCGTAGCTAATGATACCCATATAGCATTCTCTACTGTTATGAATTATCTTGGTGAAGTTATTGCTTTGACAGAAACAAGTAAAAGTCTACGAGAAACTCGACTTAGAGAAACAGAAATTGAACTGAATGTATCTCGAGTCTGGCAGAAGCAATTAAAACAATTACGTAATATTCTCAAGGAACATTATGAAAGTACGGTAGAAGATCTACGTTTTGCTCATATAGAATATTCAAGAGCATTGGCTAGACGTTCGTCAAGATTTGAAAAGGGTCTAATGCGTCTGACTAGTGCTGTCGTCAAATTGACGAGAAATGCTGCTAAAGTGCTGGAGAGATTGACTTCAGACGAGCAACAAATTAATGGAGCTTCTTCAGCTCTAAATTATCTGCTCAATGGATCCGTCATGGCTACAGCAGACAATGGTAAAGCACTTCTTATAGCACAATCACTTTCTGAATCAATGAACGATTTATTCAGTATATTCAATGATATATTTTATTCAATAAATAATCAGACAACCAGTCACAATCCAAAAGAAATGGAAAACATTTTATGCGAGATTGAAACTTACGAAAAATTAATTGGAAAAACTGACATAGTCATAAATGTTGTTAATCCAATTTTAGAACAAATAAAAAATGTTACCATCAAAGCTATTGAATTAGCGCAAGATAATGCTCTTGGAAAGTCAGTCAATAGGACTGAAACAGATTATGTTTCAGCTCAATTGAAGAAATTGATTGGAGAGATGAAAAAAATAGATGCTGCCGCAGGACTTATCGACGATCCCTCTGGTATGAAACCATCTGAAGATAATCAGTTTTCATCGGATTCTGCAAAAATGGCCATTCAGATAACAGAACAGAAACTCGAAGATGCACGAAAGCGAAGTGATGCCAGTCTGGCTCAATTACGAAAGAATATGAATGACATGAATGAACTAGTAGGTAAAATAGCTTCATTGGACTTGACACGAATCAGTTATGCTGAACTTCTGGATTACATGCGGCAAGCTTTACGTCTTCTTGCTACAATGCGTCAAACTTGGGCACAGCTTGTTCTATTTTTCTCGACCATAGCCAGTCAAGCAGAAATTGCTCTCTCAGGCACACTTGATCCATTCATTCAACAAGCCAAACGTGCCGGTAACGAGGACATTTCGGCAGACGAGCGTAGTTTCTTTGTGGAATTACTTAAAGAACAATCGATTAGTATTTATCAAACTTCCTATTCACTTTTCATTATGTCTCGAACGTATGTTGATATGTCCAATGAGTTCTTAATGCCACGACTCTCTGGACTGTCACTCATGTTCACAGCCAAAGATGATAATGAACGAATGGTACTCAATAATAGGTTAGCGTTAGAAACTAAAGCTACACAAACAAAGGTGAAAGCATTAGTCGAAGAACGCAAAATGACCTATACATCTATGGTTAACAATCAACTCAGAAAACTACAAACCACTCTACAGAATTTAGGAGGACCATCAATAGAAAATCAACGTGCAATTGATGAAGCTAGTGAACTTTTAAGTAGTCAATAATCTGTTTTTAGTCTTCATATTCAAAATTTTTTTATACCTATAAGAGTTGTTTAACATATACCAGAGGTGAGTGTGGAGCAGCTACTATATGGTCGGTTCGACTAGGTTTCAGTCTCGTTAGATGACTTTGTAGTTTCAAAATGATCGAATTCAAGCAATTCCATCGTCAACGTGTGGGTAGATTCGCCATGACCGATTTCGTCTTTTGCTCGGAAACACTCATAAGATAGCTTATTATCGTGTTTCAAAAGTTCGTGCAACTCGTTTACTTTTGAATGTAGTGACCTTTATGAGCAGCTATATGTTGCCAGCAATCTTGAAACTCTGTATTCCTTTACAAAAAAATCGGAAACAAGATCATTCAAATAGTCCTCAACAGTTGTGATCACTCCATCGTCAGAGCTGAAAGTCTGACCTCGAAGGAATCTCTTCAATTTTGAGAACATATGGTAATCGGACGGATGGTTCAGCTCCAACAAGTAAAATACAAGTTATCAGTTGAATAAAATGATTATCTGAATATTCTTTTTCACCATAATCTTTTTTCATTTGCTCTTTACTTTTCATTAATAATTCAAAACTTCAACATCAATTGTAATAACTAAATTTTGCCCGATAGAAGAAGGCAGACAGTGGGACCCACCGGATATGGCTTTTATAGCACTAATCGTACAATTTCAGGCGAGAACGGGAACATTCGAAGGCCATTGGGAACTCGTGCCAGTGTTATGAGAAGGGAAGCGGCTACTCGACTGCATCAGCACAATCCACTGCTTCGTTCAGAGCCAGTTTCGGCTGGAGCTGGTAGCAGGAGGACGGTAGCCCGGAGAGAACGACGGGAAAGATTGAGGACCCATCATCCTAAGGCACCACCACCATCAACAACATCGAAGGAGAGGATGATGGGCCAGCCAACACACCACAGTCAACTATCATCATTTACAACGACAATATGGGTGACAGCATCACAGATGACCACCCTCAATCTCTCCGATGAGGAGTCTTGATGGAGACATGAGGCCCTTCAGGCCCTCCAGTCCTTCTCTTCCTCTTCTTTTTTATTGTTTGAGTGGCCCATTCGGCCATCAAACAACACCAGAGGGGCTCTTGAGGACAAGTAGCAACTTAACAGAAACTAGTCAATAAGAAACAACAAAAAATTTTTTTTTATTTAATTTAAATTAAATTTTTTTTTCGAGTTCGAGTTGAGTATTCTTTTCTTTTTATTCGTATGAATCTTTCCTTTTCATGATTCTATATGCGCGTGTGATCCTCTTTTGTTCTCGAATGAAAAAATAATTAATATATTAACTAATGTGACAATACACAAAACGAGCAATTTTCATTGTTTTAGGAAGTTCTCGATGAATGAATGTACTCCCATTCAGAATATCTGACGTATAACAGTCGCTTGTACTGAAAAAGATGTCAATAATATCAGAGTTTCGATTCTGATGGATAATAAATAAACGTTCCCTTCCGTTAAAAGCAAAGGTTCCAACCTATATAATGAGGCCATCGCTTGACAAAGCAATTGTTTGAACTGCGAAATCGCCATTACCAAATCCTGATAATACAGCTAAAGTGTGAGGCCAATCGTTACGAATAACGATCTCCGAAATACGATCACAATTCAAACCATTGACAGCTATTGATTTAACTTTTCCAGATATATCTGCAAGAAACCTTTTTTTTGCCTCAGTAGAGGCGTATAAACAAAGATGATTTTTTCGCTCATTCTTTGCTCGTGATGGTCAACAAATTACACACGAATTTATATCGACGTGAGGGTGAAAATATCTATCTCACACATATGACCACGCTCATCGTCCGCTCCGCCATGATTTTATTTCAGTTTCGCACAAAATTCCACACTTCTTCTGTAACTCCAATGAATGATTCTGAAAATTGTCTATAAGCCTTTCTAACAATTGCCGCCGCGGAAAACATATATCGATCACATCAGCACCACAGAAAATTCTCACCCCATTGTCCACCATAATCACAGCGGCTCCTTGCACCAGTGATCCATACCAAATTAATGAAAGCCAAGCATTATCTCCTGTCTCCACATATATCTTTACCAATTGATCTGAAGGCACGTTCTTCAACTGCAATGCACCACACTGTCCGACATACATAGATAGCTTGCATATTGTCTTCGATTCTAATTTCTTTATTATTGTATAAGAACAGAGTATACCTTCTACAGCATTACATGCTTCTGATCTGACACTTGAGTTGTCGACTTGCAGTGCATTGATTAAAGCTAAGATCACATTGTGCGTCGCTGCTTTTCACCCATGTTTCCAAATGTCTCAAAAGCCTTTACCATGGCCCTAGAAGCTTTGCCGTGTAGTGCATCAACAAGAGCAGAGATTACGCCATTTGTTGTCCATTTCGCAGCCAAATTCCCAAGGGCCTCACAGGCGACTTGCCTGACATTGAGCAGTGTAGAAATCGTTAACTCGATTCGAGTATTAATACTTCCTTCGAATTCTACATCTTCTACTTTAGAATTCCCAGTTTCGAGTTTTCCGCTAAGCAACTCGTAAGTGATTGATCGTAAATCCTGGAGTGACTCATTATTAACTATTATGTAACTGTTGATTAAATATCAACCAGCCGATTACTTATTATCAATCAACGGGCTATCAACTAATCAGCATCTCACTATTAAATGCTACCTAATCATCTATTCAATATATGCCTATCAATTATCATCCAACTAGCGGTAACGAATCCCGTTCATATTGACCCTGACTATGCCGTTGCCAGCTGCACCCTCACTCTCACACCATCACCCACACCCACACCTTCACCCTCACCCTTATTCATTCTGATTTAGTTATTATGTCTTTCTTCTCAGTTATTAGTAGATAAAAATGAGAACTCTAAAATAATTGAATCAATTACAGATTCTGTTAAAGAACTACTTGTTTTACTAAACTGATTTAAATCCAAGACGGAAAAGTGGACCCTGAATTCTCGGATCCTTGTGAATTTTTCGGGTTCCTTCCGGCCCTGACAAAGAGAAAAGATTATTCTAGAATCTCGTAAAATCCAAACCGATAGGTGAGGATATTAGCGAATGAAATATACGCCGTCGAAAATAATATCTGAAGTTTGATCAAGTCATTCGTCACACATGTTCGTGTTTCGATTTTAAATCGAAATGAAATCAATCGAGAAATATGTGGATGTGGAGAAAGGGAGAGAAAGAACGTAAATAAATCAGCGTCAACTGATTCACTGCACGAAAAAATATTTTTTTCCTTTTCGCATAGTTTTTTGTATGACGCTGGATTCTATGACTCATTCGTGGAAAAATATCCTTTATTTTTCACTATCGAACCATGATTTTCATATTTGTGAGGGCGTGGCTGAGGTGAGAGTTAAGAGACAACACTTACACTCAAATCATATATAAATAGTGACATATTTCATTTTGCATAACAGTACAGAAAGTACGAACAAATATATATAACTCACAAGCACGCATAACAAGAAACATGGGACAGCAAAATGGTTCTTATAAGCCTGATTTTTATAAATATCATGGTCAAGATGCTGATTATGTGATTGGAGAATTGGAAAAACAAGGTAAACCAAGAAATGATGAACTTATCGATTTCTAAATTTTATTTCAGGTTATACATGTAAAAAATATGACACACAGCGATTAGTGCAAGCTAGACCACTATCACCAATTCCAGATCCAAAAACTGTTCATGTCTATATCTGCAAATTAACAAACACGATACACCAGATTCAAACAAAATATTGAATATCAATAGACACGCATGTCATATTCTCCAATTATGTTTCGCTTTTTTTCTTTGTCTAACATTCTTGTTTCTGCCGACAAAATACATACATATGTTAGCGTCGGTGATGACATACACTGACACTAGACGAAGATGAAGTTGATCCTTTTTGAGGGTGAGGGTGCGGGGTGTGAGCTTTGGTCTTTCTTTCATTATCACTCCCATCCTCAATAAACAAAGGAGTTCTCAATGTCATTAACATTCTGCCATGCTAATTAGAATCCAACAATAAATGGTTGGATGGTGAATACCCTTCTTCAATTCTCTTTGCTTCTTTATAGTATAAAACTGCCATAGGAATAAGTTTCATTAATTGATACATGAAGCCTATCATGTTGTACGTAGCGATTAAATCACAATTTGGATCGTTGTTTTGATAAGATTTAAGTTGTATTTCAAGTTTTTTTTCATAGTAGGACCGTGCTAATGAATACAAGTCCATTAAATAACATATATAACCAATTTTATCATATGCGCCAATGAAAAATGGATGATCAACAGGAAGCAATCTTTCTTTTATTTGAAGTACCTTTTGATAATGAAATAATGCTTTTGAATATTCTTCAAGTTTTTCATATACTAGACCAAATTTGTCGTGTATGCTAGCTAAGAGCAAATGATCATTGGAATGAAACATCCGCTGTATATCATATTGTTTTTGAAAATAGACAAGTGCTTTAGAGTAATCATGTAATAAATAATGAGCGGATCCGATATTGTTGTAGAAGGTAGTCATGTTTGGATGATTAGTTAGATTTGATCTTTCGTTGATTTCCAATGCTTTTTCGAAATATATTAATGCTTGAGAAGAATTTTTTGCTGAGAGATAGCTTTCACCGATGTTGTTATAAGTTATTGCTACGTCGGGATGATGAACAGGGAAATGTTTTTGTTCTATTGCAAGTGCTTTCTCAAAATAAATTAGTGCTGTCGAGTGTTGTGATAATGCATTGTGGCTTGAACCAATATTGTTATAAATAACACCTAGTGATGGATGATCATGTGGAAGAGATTTTTCTTTGATTTCCAGACTTTTTTTGTAGTTAGCAAGTGCTTTTGAGTGATCTTTTGATGACTGGTATATTAAACCAATGTTATTGTAGGTGATCGCCAGATCGAAGTGATCGAGTGAAAAGGCTTTTTGTTGTATATCCAATGCTTTTTGATTATTTAGGATCGCATTGGGATTGTCTCCCATTGAAATATACATGGAAGCTATGTTATTCAAGGTAATAGCCACAGTTGGATGGTTCAACGAAAGAGACTTCTGTTGTATTTCAAGCGCTCTTTGGTAGTATGATAATGACTGAGAATAACTCCCCAATGATTGATAAATACAACCAATGTTATTATAGAAAACAGCTAAATCTGGATTGATAGTTAGAGTGGATTTTTGCCGCATAATATTAACTGCATTTTCACTATATTCAAGAGCTTTTGTATACTGCCCCATTGTATAAAATACTGAAGCAATATTGTCATAGGTGAGTGCTATACGTGGATCTGGATAATTATATGCGAGAAATTTTTTTTGAATTTCCAACGCCTTATTATAATTTATGAGCGCTTCAGAATAATCTCCTGTTATATTCTGAACAAGTCCAATGTTGCTAAAAACTGCAGATAATTCAAAATCATTCGACGGATTACATTTTTGTTGGAATTTTAGTGCTTTTGCGTGATATGATAGAGCTTCATGCCATTCACCTTTTTCATTCTTTATAAATCCTAATTGATGATTTAAATTGGCAATCATTCGTTCATCGTTGACAGGCGTTATTCTTATTAATTTATTAAATATCTCTTCTGCTTTATCGTATTGACCCATTTGAGTCATTAATTGAGCCATTCGATGCGTCGATGTTGGCCCCTTAATCTTTTGTAGCATATATTTAGTAAGATCAACTAGTAATGGATCTTTGTCATTAGTCAAGATCAGATTCATCTCCCATAAACGCTCGTCGACTTGTTTCGATTCTCCAATGCGGAACACAGCATTCATAGAAAACAATACTTCTTCTTCACTTTTAAGATAACTGAATTGATTAACAGGAGCGAATGAAGCGGATGAATTGTTTGAAGTAATTTCTATTCGAAATATAAGTCCAACTAAATTTGGATCGTTTCGAGAGCTCTCAGCAAACATCTGTGCCACTTGAGCATCCAAAGTTGTCGATAAGAAATGGTTAAATGACAGAAGTCCACCTTTATTGTTCTTTACTTTGTCGAATTCTTCATGTAACATACCTTGTCCTCGAAATACAACGAAACCATTGTGATTGACCATTTCCATATGCACTCGTTCAATCTGATGATGGAGATCACGTAGAAAAAAGCCCATTTTGAGAATAATACAGAGTTCTTGTGTGCGTAACGCGTGGTTAAGAACTTCAAAGATGAAGCAAGGTCGTGTATACCACCAAATAGACGATTGATTATTATATTTCTCCTCGAACTCCTTAATTAATTCCAATTGGGACTTATTTTCATTATATTTATCATAACAATAGTTGATGAAGTCCCATTTTTCGTTGATGTCAGCTGGCATATCGAGAAAAATCTCCTTTAGTAATTGAGAGTACATAAATGATTGATCAAGCTCATCCGAACGTGTAGATAATGATGAGGAAATGGAACTAATTGGTATTGAAGTTTCTCTTGATAAATCACATAAATTTTCAATATGATCGGAAATTCCTTTCATTTTGGTATATTGATTAATATATTCTTTGTATGCTGATTTGCCACGGCAAAAACGATAAGTGGAATCTACTGTAATTAAATCTCGAAGGATAGGAATAGTCATAAATATATTTTCCTTTGAAACATCAGTGATAGAGTTAACACATCGATCATGACCTGAAAATATTTCCATTAAACTAATGATGTCTTTCGAGCAAGTAACAGATTTCTGTGTATAATGATCAGTGACATCGGAATCATGTTCAATCGAAAGGAGGATACGATTTTCTTGAAATGGATCACGCGATAAAATGTGTTTTCTGTCTTTATCTGAGGCATAAGTTAAGCTGGAAAAAAATCTTGAAATCTTGTCGCGGTAGTTATCCGGAATACAACATATTAAAGATATAGCAGACATTTTCAAGGATAGAAATTCTAATAATTATCCATCGATCGAAATAATTCAATTTTTCTTAGCAAATTTTCAGTTAAAATCATACGGTTTTCATAATATCTAAAATAAACATATAGCTTCATTTCTGTAGTTAACTAAATTTTCTAAAAATTAAAAATCACTCATAAATATTGACTGTAATTGAGCTGGTTTTTCATGCATCATTATTACGGACAATTCATCTTAAAGTTGTAAGGCACACGAGAAACTGTGCCTATTCACTTATCTGTAAACATGACTATTTCCATAAAACTAGAAAAAAAAATTTTATTATTTACAGTAAAAGGTTAAGTTAAAACTCAGAATGGCGTTGACTACAACATCGATAGAATGATTAAAAAGACTTGACAGATTGGAGTTTACAGTTTGTCGATGCAAATGAATAAAAATAGAGGAAACAGAATGGAGAAGTTAGAGTGAAAGAAAAATAAGAAATATTTGAGACTTGTTTTGTGCGTTTGTTTTTCAAGCTCTCTCTTTGCTTTGTAACTTGAACATTTTTTTTTGCTGACGAACAAAATAGTGACGCCACAATTTATTCTCAGTTTTTTGTTAAATGTCAATAGATTTTACTTACTTAATAACCGATAATGCAAAACTCCGAATTCCGCATAAGTGAAATCGATTATTACGAATTTTTCAACAAATTTCAATTAGGAATCCAATCAATAAATGAGTATTCAAAATCAAAACCCATTGGTTTTCAGTAAAACACCAATAGGTTTAGATGATTTTAAAATTTCGAAAAAATAATTTTTTTCGTATATGACCATAGGATAGGATCGAAAATTGGAAAAGTTAAAATTTTTTTCCTTCATATCTGAAAACGGGCAGCTAAGATATTTATGTGTGAGATGCCCACAGGGAACCCTACATGACACCACGGTTGAAATCTAATTCCGTGTGGGTACACTCAAATATGTTCCCTTGTAAGGGAGTCGAATGAATAACGGGAGAGAGGCAACTTAAGCGAGTAAAATGAGTTAAAGGAATGTAGAGGGCTGACGAACTACAAGAACTGGAAAGAAGTACAGAATTTAACGAAGAAAGAAAGTTATGTGAGTAGTTGAAGAGAGAGAGCCAAATGATAGACAGTTACGCCAGGATAACTTTAAATTCTCGTGGATCTATGAAAAAAGAGATTGCGTCTTGAGTTCACCAGAACAAACTCTTTTAGTTCCACATCTTGTTACTATCGCCACAGTGATCTACATAAGGAACATTTTCATCATGTTGACAAAACAATATATAAAATAAAGAAATCAAGTGTGTTCCAAGTGAGACATTCGCAAAACATTCAGACTTTTCTTAAAATTGATATTAACAAACGATGGCTGCTTTTAACTAATGACACTACGAACCATTACCCTTGCTCATATCCATATTCTAAAGTTTTTTTTATTGTAAAGAACTGTTTTTATAAAAACATTTTATGACAAAAAAAACTCCTTTTTGGGATAATAATAAAGATGAATAAATAAATGAAAACGATCAAATCAACCAAAGTGATTTAACATTTTATTTCGGTAAAGGCCAACCATTCTCATTTAACCATTGTATTTCCTCGCGATATAGAGTTCTTCCTCCATGTTTCCAAGTGCCATCGTTATACAGAGCATGTCGGCCATCTTTGAAATGAATATGAGGTAAGCGATCACCTTGATCAGGATTACCTACGTCCACACGATCTATAGATTTCGGTGCTTTACCACATTCGACTTGTTTTTGCATTTGATTTGGTGACGTCATTTTCTTCGCCGACATATTGTATTGAAATGTTGTTTGTCTTACACTACGACCGAGATGGAGAAGAATATGAGTTTTAGCAGTTTGTTTCTATTTGCAATAGTGATTGGCTTTTTGCACGTTTGAAAAGAGAAGAACACGCAAAAAGAAATGAACAAAAGAACTTCATTATCATAACTCATGTAAAGAAAACGGGAAAAAAGTATGGCAACAAAACATGCCGAGAGTGTCTCAGAATGTGGGTGAGAATGAGGATGTGGTCATAGGATAATCACATTTACGCCCTCATTATTTTCATTTTGTTTGAAATAAAACACCATAAGTAGATTTCTTTCTCTTGTAAATATTGTTCTTGTTTCTTTTACTAAATGTGTCATTTGAATGACGAAACTACACTGGAGTATTTATACTCTTAAATAAATTATCAAAAGCATATTTCGACGAGTTTATTTTGAAAAGATTATTATAATGACTCATCGAAAACTGTATGAATCCCGTGGTGCACAATATCGTAAAGAAAGTGAAACAACGAGTTTTTGTTTATATGCTCCTAATGCAAGAAGTGTTTGGCTCATTTTAACAGCCTATGGTAATGAACAACATCGATTAAAAATGGAAAAAAAAACAATGGAAATTTATGGGAAATTGTTACAGATACCGCAGCACCACCTGGCCAAATATTTCTCTATCTAATTGATGATTATCATGGAAGACAAATGTTACGAACAGATCCTATTAGTTTTTCTGTTGTTCACATTTTTGAAGTGAATCAAGTGCATTCCGTTGTTCATGATGAAACAGCTTATCAATGGAACGATCAAAATTGGTTGAGACAACGTTCTCAAACTGACCCATTACGATCTCCTTCATCGATCTATGAAATTCAGCCAAAATCTTGGAAAAGTAGTACCTATAAACCATTAAAATTCCGTCAAATTGCAGCTGAATTAGTTTCATATTGTCAACAAATGGGTTTTACTCATGTTGAAATTATAGGAATTCTCGAACATACACATCAAGGCGGACGTGGTTATCAGGTATCGAACTTTTTTGCTCCTTATCGACATAGTGGAACATGTGATGATTTCGAATATCTTATTGATCTCTTACATCAAAATAATATTGGTGTTATTCTCGATTGGATACCGACACATTATCATCGTTGGCATCAATCTCATTTCTATTCAACGTCTTTACATGCAAGTAGTTCTTCACCATGGGAAACACGAAGATTTTTATTTGCTAGTGCACTTTATTATCTTGATCGACTTCATATCGATGCAATTCGTTTTGATGCTATTAGTCAAATGATTCGACGTCAACATAAAGATATACCTAGTGCAATTTCATTTTTACATGAACTCAATCAGACGATTCATACGTATTATCCTGGTGTTTTATGTATTGCAGAAGAAACTGAAGGTTATCCAAATCTAAAAACAACGATGAGTTTTGATTTGAAATGGAATATTGGTTGGAGTTATGATGCACGAAATCTTCTTCGTACACCATATGCTGAACGACCTCAACATTGGAAACAGAAAGTATTGGATACATTGAATTGGTCTCGATGGGGACCAGATAAAATGATTTTAACATTAAGTCATAATGATACAGATTCGGGAGAACATAATAGTAATAAAATTCTATTAAATTGTGTAGCACATGCTCAAAATGATATGGACAAATTTTCTGATTTAAGAAATTTTTTTGCTTGACAACGATATGCGCCTAGTCGTATGGTCATATGATTCATATGGGAGATGTAGTTGTACAACTCATGTCTTGGTATCAACGTTTCCAACGAGATTTATCAAGTATGGATTGGTCATTAGCAAATTCAACATCCACAATTTTGGCAATATGGTGAATTAGATTTTTCATTGATTTATGAATATGGTCTAAATTTAGTAATAGCTTATGATCGAGGTATTTACAATAATCGACGAATTGTTATTATTCATAATTTTTCAAATCGTGGCTATAAAACTTATAATATACCTTTACCAAAATCGGATCCTAATGTAGCATGTGTTCAGAATGTAACAGAAATTTTCAATACTGATCATCCAAAATATAGCGGTTCAGGTTTATTTGAAAATCAACAGCTAATAATTCAACGGCATAATGATGGAAATATGTTGTTCAAACTAACTATTCCTCCTCTTTCAACAATTATTTTAGAGGAAATTTTAATTTAATATCTTACATATGAAAATGTGCTATTTTGTTATTTTTAAGGTATTGTACCACTAGTTAAAGTAACCTATTGAGTGGTACGAGATTTTACTTCAGTGTTATTTTTCCTTCCTTTCTCCCTCTATTTTCCTCGTAAAGAAAAGGAAGAAGAGCATTTTTACAGAATTTGCGGAAAAGAGAGGAACTGAAAAACTACCTTACGTTTCAACGGAAATAAAAATGAAGAATTTTTTCCAACCACTTCCGTGGTAAAAAATTAAATAAAAACGGAAAATTTACATTGGATTGGTTTCTTTTCTCTTTATAAGAATAAAATTGGTCACCAAGAGTTAAAACTACCTCCGTATTCTATAACGTCTTAATTCGTAAGTTCTATATTACACCAAGTCAAATATATAACTTAATGTTAGATGTGTTGTTAGTCAGATTTCTTTATCCTTGAAAGCATAATGTCTGGTCGAAATGATAGTGAATTCAACGCCAGCAGAAATTTACCGGCTCTTTACCAGCCTTCACCAATGACGTCAGTTTCACCAAGGAATCAAATCAGTAAGTTTTTAACTTTGTTCTAAACTAGATAGTTTATTATAAAAAAATTAGGTTCAGTCGAGGCCAATAACGTCGTTTGTGAATTAGAATCCAAATTGAATGCTGATTATTCTGATAAAATCACATGTCCAAATTCAATTTCACCTGTTCCAGCTGATATTGAAACAAAAGCAAATGAATGGGTGAAAGCGAAATCATATGAAGATCGCTGTTTTGGTCGTGATATCAGAGCAATATTAGGTAATTGGGATACATTAATGACTCATTTTCGAAATGAATTAAATGAAAAACGTAAGGAAATGATTGACGATCCCTGGATGAATGCTATGATCACAGCTGATCAATTATCGTTCCCAAAAGAATCTGACCGATTAATTTTCTGCGTCAAGGAAACATTAGCACCAATATTCACGAAAAAAGCGGGTCCGCTCATTCAGCAAATCAATACGTTTTTAGGGCGAGAAATCGGAGCTATTGTGCCAACAACCTTTCTATCCGATGTCATTCAAGAATTACTTGAATTTATAATTAATCAGGTTTATGCAGCATTTGGAGGGCCAGGAGGGAAAAAGCTCAGTAGCTGGCAAAACATTTTAATTGAACTGTGCTTATTCATCCTTAAATGGATTCTCCTTCTCCTTGTTCAAAATCTTATTAAGCTATTGGAATCTGGTTATCCATTGATCACTTTGCTTTTACGCATAACACCTTTTTTCATCAGGTATATTATTAATCAACTGCGTAACACAGTATGCAAGTAACCCAATTATACTCAGACAAAGATAAAAAGCGGTATTTTTTAATGAACTTCATTGAAAAAAATTAATGATCTTATCACATATTGAATAATGTCTCATTTATGTTCTTGAAATACTTTTCTTTTAAGGAATTAGCAATGTGTGTCATCTATATATACCTCACCCTTCAATAATCTAAATTTGAAGAGATAAGTTATGATGTCAATATTACCTACTGTGTTTTGCTACTCTATATGCTATTCAAAGAATGTATCAACATCAATAGAATAATTAGGCAACAACATAAATTTTGTTTAAATCAAGAATAGATATAAAAATAGCGAAAGAGTTTCCATAATTTTAATTTACTCAGCGACATCGAAAAATACGTTTTAATTCTTCACGAAAATTCTTTGATATAAGGATATTTGCGTAGCAACTAATGCTCGAGTCAATAAAACCAGTGAAATATGTTATATTTGCAACGAATTGTTCAATTGATATTTGCGCATCACTCTTCGTTTCATTTTGAGTAATTTGTTGGTAAATAAGAAAAATTGTAGATGGAAATCTTGAAATAAGATAAATCATAATTTCCATGAATACTATTCGAATAAGTTGACGATCTTTTGAATGAATTACATGTGATCTACCTGCTGTTATTGTTTCAACTGTTGATGCATGAGAACGATGTATAGCTTGAGAGACTTGACGAATATTTCTTAATGTTAAAAATCCAAATATTCCCATTAATACCGGTGGAGTAATTCCAACAATGAAAAGTGAATAATATGTTATGAATGCTGTGTATAATCCTGCTTGATAATAACATAAAAAGTAAGTTGGTGCAATTTGTATGATGTCTACATAGATAAATATATGAATTTGAAATAATGCCCAAAACAAACTTGAACTGATGAGACATAGAAGAGCTAAACGTCGTGTACTTCGTTTTCGTGTTCCTGCATTTCGAGAAGTGGCTAATGTTCGATCAATTGATGTGACAATTAGATAAGTTGGACCCAAAATACTGAGAATAAAATTGACATAGTAAAAACTTCGACAAAAAACAATATTGCTTATTCCAGGATTCATACTAAAACCACTTTGAAGTATTGTTGGAAGCAAACCCAAATAAAGATATAATAAATTAACAGTGCTAATAGCCACGAAGCACATTGCACAAGGATTTTTTCGTAAAGATTTGCTCGTAAATACTATTAAATTTAATATACAACTTAAACTACCGATAGCTAATAGTATTATACCAGCAATTTGAAATATTGATGCTAATAGTGACATTCTATCGTAAATAAATTATTTCTACTAACAATCCTGTAGTTAATTAGTATAGATTTTATAGAAGATATGAAAGTCAAAACGTAGGATGAATAAGTAAGGTTGATTAACAAAGAACATTGCATTCTATAGAGAAAAAAAACGCAAATTAACGTATTAATATGTTAAAATAGTCAGATCTAGTTAGTAAAATTACTTGTAAACAATTTCTATTGAAATGATAAAAATATATATTTTTGTCCTTTATCTACTACACTTTACATAATTATATTCTAATACTAATGAAATTGAGAGAGTCAATAAATCAGTTTCCCTGGTGCATTAATCCGACAAAATCCAATATTGGATCCAGCCGGATATCAGTATGGGATTGGGCGGCCTGGGCTTTAATTACTTTCAATAAATAAATAGTTTATGAACATGGTCGTAATAGAATTTCAACGTAGTCTGCTGAGGGTGAGGGTATTAGTAAATAATATATACGCCGTCAAGAAAATACTCCGTCGAAGATAATATCTGGAGCCTGAGCAAATCATTCATCGCGCATTTTCCTGTTTTCTCTGTAAACCATCTTGAGGGTGTGGGTGGGGATTTCAGAATTTAATGTAGGTTAGGTGTTCAGTTGTTGTCGATTTGTTTATAATGAAATATGAATGTGATGTGGGGTTGGGATGGTAGGGAATAGTGTCAGAAGGTAGTTGAAATCGCTAGTTTGTTCCAACTTTTATGCAACTGCAACTGATCTTAGGAGGAATAAAAGAACGATAAACAAGCGTAGGTATCACCGTAACTAAATGCACTAAAGGCGAAAATAGAGATATCAAAAGGTACATTCACTAGAATCAGACGTGTCAAATGTAATCCTAATCTATTGAGTTAAACCTGTTGGATATATCGGAATTTGAGAAAGACAATGAAATATAACTTCTGCGAGTAAGTGTTGATTGTTGTTGGTGTTCGTAGTAAATTCGGATTAATGGTAAAAATATTCTTTTGTAGTTGAGTGTTTGTTCCAGTTGGACTCATAAATGGGAGTTAGAGATGCTTTTTCGCGGAGTTACCGATTTTTGGATGGAATAGCGAGTGTTCGCGTTGTAGTGGAGTTGATTACCTGAAGTATGTAGATGAGGGTGAGGATGCGTGGAAAGTGACATTGACTTAGATTAATGTTTGACGACCTATGTTTTTGACTCTTGTGTATGCTTGGTGGCGCATTTGATATGTTGTGCATGGTTGTGATGTTGTTCGATTGAAGTGGCCCTAGTGCTTATTGTATTGCGTCATCGTTTGTTTCTTCTTATTGCATACTGCATTGGTAGTATAAAATTTTGGTTTTTATATACCTCTCCAAAACGAGTAGGAAAAATTGAGTATTTTACTTTCGAAAGTTACTAAATATATCTGCGCAAAACATTTGAATTGTTTCTTCGTGTATAAAATTGTTAGATCAATTTGTCTCACTATGGGGGCACGAAAAAAATACCTGTCCTCTCCAGTCGATGGTTAAGTGAGTCGGCACAACGAGCGCTACTTGTTTTGTTCCATGTCCGAAAGCCCTGTATATTGGCCTGATGAATTAGACGAAGTTAGTGTTCATTGATGTTTATTGATGTTTGTGAAAGTGCTAAGTGCATTGCTGCGGTGCTGCCTACCGATGTGGCTGATATAGTGTTAAGTGCACTTTGAATTTGCCGCAAAATCATGAGCCCCAGCACCTCATGATAACGGTAGCTATACTCACCCTCACCCACACCCTCGAGAGACAAAGCAAAAATACCAGTATGGTATTGAGATCTTACCCAGACCTAGTGGCTTTTCACCTAAACACCCAAGTCATGGCAGCTGATCTCACACTCTATTGTATTTTGTATTGCTTCTTAGTGAGTCTTCTGTACAGATACTTGCCACTTGATAATCTCTATCTAATAATTGTGAAAATCTTCAGTTTTGTGGTTACTATTCTCGCACCAACACCCACACCCACGCCCTAGTTTTCAAGTTGAATAAGTTTCTCCTCAGCAGTAAACGGAGTCATATGAGAAAAGAAGTTTGTCCGTCTGTAGTTTTGCGTCAGGGGTAAAGGTCCAAGATAAAAAATCATCACTGAAGGCTCATTCGAAATTATGGGCTGGCGTATAGACCCGGATGTTGGGTGGCATTAGTTTAAGGAAAAATGAAGCATTTTGCTTTCGAAAGTTAGTAATTTCTTTGAGCAAAAATATTTGTGCCGTTTCTTCGTATATGAAGTGGCTGGATCAATTCGTCCCACTATTGGGACGCGACGAAACTACCTGCGATCCACAGTTGACGGTTAAATGAGGCAACAAGACAAGCGTTACTTGTTTTATTACGATGTAACAAAAAGAGCCGTAGAAGAGTTAGATAACAAAAATAAAATAAATTATGATCCTTGAAAGATAAGTTTATCTTATACAGTGTATGCTAAAATTGTCTTTCTTATATATAGTAAACATTGATCCCTGTTTTTCTTTGGCTGAAAATTCACTCTTCATTTTTAGTCTAATTCGTTGACAGCCTTTTTCTGCTGGATAAGAATGTTATTTTGATATAGCCACACCAAAGCTCAAAATGATACAAAAATTTCAATGTTAGAAGAGTCGATTTATTTTAATAGCTATTTAATAAAGAAAGTTCGAATCATGAAAATTTTGGATAAGAGGAATTCCTCAAAACAGTTTCGAATAAACTCGAATCAATAAATCGTGGGATAGCTCAGGCCGATGTGAACACGTGGATCATACTCAGTGGCTTCAACCAACAACTCTCCACCCCAGACATGAAACGGGCCACCTGTTGTACGCCCTCCAACGCCGATGAAATGGGTTCCCGCTGGTAATAAGACCAGATCCGACTTCGAACACACTGCAGCAACAGATGTGGTGCTCCCGCTGGCATGCATACTTCCACCTCGAGTGTCTGATTCATCGATATTTTTGCCAAGATCAGGTGCGACTACGTGGCGTTGATCGTTGTTTGGCAGCAGCCGGTTTGAGATAAGCACTTTATTATTGATCAGTATTCGTGTGAGCGCCCAATTTGATGTCTGCATAAGCGCGCATGATCCTTGAAAACGTATGTTGTAAACCATCGGTGCCGCATGATGAACAGCTAAATCAAGACCAGGAAATTTTGTAAAAACTTTCGAGGCCGACGGTATCACATAAAGATTAGGATCCTGGTATCGCATATGAAAATGTCGGGGACGTTCTGGTGGCGATTCTCGAAAATCACCTCGACCCAGAAGAATTGGAATTTCTATGATGGAGGCGTCATTTGTTGTTGTATTAAGCCCGGTTGTCCATGCAACCAAAAGCAGAGCAAAACTCAGCGATAGTAAATACATTATATGCAGAAAATATCTGAAAATAAGTCTTGTACCAGACGACGAAACGAAAAACTCACACAGAATTATGACAAGATCACAGAACGTAATTGAAGTGGGGATGCTAGGATATTGCTTTCCTTTCCTGAACATTGAATAGTTGAGGATGTTGCAGATCAACAGAAATTCGATCGAAACAAAGAATTGTATTGCAAAATTTCATTCTGACCCGTGAGACTATTTCGGACGTAGTAATATATAGATATGTCACAATTAGAGGGATAGATACAAGAGAATAAGCTCCGATCTTTAAAAACTTTCGTTTTTCCCTAACGAAGTTCTAGTCAAGCTAGCCAAACCCAGATTTCAGAAATGAGAAAATTTACAACAGGAGTTTATCTGGATAGTTTTTCTTTTAAATCTGAGGAAATATCAGGAGGTTTTCTTAACAAATGCATAGGTCAGCACTTGGCTCTTATTACGTCTGAATCAGGGTTTGACTCGTTCTACAAGAGCAAATATTCAAGATGTTGAATATAACTTACAGTTTATATTAGCAGATCCTGTCATTTGCTGTGAGGGATGACGGGATCTGATGATGTTTCAGCAACTAATGATATCTGAAGTAGTATTTGGTGGAATAGGAACATTGATATATGTATGAACGCTAGTTGAAAGCACTTTGAGAAACTATAACACGATGGAAATTGCTCATTTAATACCTCAATGATTCTGTCGTGCGACGCCACGGTAAAAAAATTCTAAGGAATTATCAATGATAGAATAGGTTTCAGCCCTCGAATAAACAACGCAAAAACGCTTATGAATTTGCAACGTCTACAAAATCTTTTTTTGTCTAAACTTGATAAAGAGATAAAAATTTGTGTTCTTATTCACCGAAAGTCATGTTATCGGAAGGTTTTTTCCCACACGCAGCTTTGCTGCGCCTTTCAAGGTAAGTAAAACTATTGTTGGTGAAATCTTTTCCAATGAACATAGTGTATAGCATTTTTCTGTGTAGAAGACATTGAACATGAGGGCAAGTCAAAGATATTTGAACTTTTTCTCTTAATTAAGAGATTTTTGCTAGACTGACAGAATAGAAAGTAAGAATATTACGTAGGATACCTACGGGCAGGATTCGACCTTTTCTTGAGCGGATTCGTTTCAGCGTAGGTTTAAATCAAACAAACGCTGGTTTCAACTACAACCTGATGATCTTTATCGGTTCCAAAAATAAAATTTCCAAAAAACCTCTTTCTTCACCCTCAGACCCAAAAAAAACCGAAAGTGGAGAAAAAACGGGGCGAATTCGTTTTACGACCACCGACCGCGATTTTAACATTGGTTCCAGATGAAACTCGACGTGCTCAATCGGATCCAATCATAAAGAATTTTCACCCACACCCACCCTCAAGATCGCATGTTATCGAAGTGCTGAATTAATATAGAGGGCTCATGTAATGTCGATCAATTTGCAATTATTTATTATAAGATCTGCACCGACGACGCTCAGAAAAATTGAAAACGTTTCCTATACCTGTTTTGTTTCTTCTTGGAAAAACATCAGAAACAAATCTTCAGCTCCGTTCTCAATAGCTTTATCCAACAAAGAATCGCTTTTCAGAAACAGATGAATAGATTTCATAAACTTTTTCGAAAAGGCAGATAACTGGATGGCAGAACAGAAAGAAAAAAAAGCACCTATCAACGAAATGATATGAGATCGAACCATTTTTTCGCACAGATAGGAACGCTCTTTTTACCTGAAAATCGTGAAATAATCCTATGTTTGAAGAAAAAAATTATTTAAAAACAGTAAACTACTTCTAATAAAACACATGCAGCGATTGCGTTCCACCATTCTGAAGTTTTAGTTGCATAGATATTTTCTCGTCATATAAAAGTATTATTTGTACCTTATTGATTAAAACTTTCTTCTTAATGTGCCAGCATCCTGGCGTCCTCCTACTAATTGTAATTCATACATGAACATTTAGGATGCCAGGACGCGGCTTCTGTAGGAGGAAAGAAAATAATTAACAGCAATAAATATTCTTCCGAAAGAGTGTTCATCCAATGGTTGCCACTTGTAAATGACTCACTGAGACACTAGGACGCCTTATAAAACAACGATTTTTCACCCCTCGTCAACTGTAATTCTTTCCTACGTAGAATAGGCGCCATGGCGTCTTGTTCATCCTGTGTAATATATGGTCAGTAGGCAAACGACAAGACGCAGCTTGCGTATGCAATAGTATCGTACTGAATTTATAGTGAAGACTCTGCTACAGAATAGTATCCTAGCATTGAACAAATGCCTATGACACATGGAAACCATAATTATTATCATCCTCCGTTTCTGATTGGTCGATTTTGTGACACGATATGGCGATGAAACAATACGTATTTATATTAGGTGATCTATAATCTGAACCGTTTGACGTTGATAAAAACACACATACATACATACTATTTTGTTCATATGACCTTCCTGCCCGTTGAGGGGAAATGACAACACTAGCTATATCAGTGTGTTTTACCCAATTCGACCGCACCTCTTCCATACACAGCTCTAAACCATCATTGACGATCTTGATCCCTGCAAATGATGTTCTATTAAGTTTTGAGCATTGTCGAAAGAAATAATTTTTTGACCTTTGGCCCTTAACCCTGACACAAACAAACACACAAACTATTTTATTTCGTATGACCCTCCTTTCAGTCGCTGGAATTAATTAATAAAAAAAAACGAACAAAATTGTCTTTTAATCTTTTATTATAAATGAACAAAGAATTGACTAAATAAGTTTTAGAAACTTTGATCCCCCTCCCCCAAAAAAAATCCTGGCTGAGTGCCTGTGATCACATATATAAAGTTGATTTACGAAAGCAAGATAGAGAGACAAAAGTAATTTTAATAATAGTAAAATAAGAGAACAAAAAGTATATTAGGGAAAGGGCCGGACTACATGGTGAAAAAATGAATTCGATCGATTATTAGTAAGTAAAATAAAGAAATCAATACCCATACAATCGTACTTCGGAGTATTGGACAGTATTTGAATTTGCTCTTGTCTCAGAAACAAGAAATCGATAACTATTATACCATGCTGTATTGTTTAATGTTCGTACAGCGCTACACTTGAATCGACCAGGATCTGCCTGTAGCCCAGTGGTACCATGGTAGATAAGAGTCCAACTGGTGCCAAGAGCGAGATTTGTTCCAGATTGATTACTTCCTTCCAATGACATTTTAAATGGATCACGCCCTGCAAAATCGTTGGCAGTACAAATCTGCATTCCCGTAACTAATGTTGAACCACGTTGTAATTCAAGATAAAACCCCGTTTTGAAAATACATTGAGAATTATTTATGGATATACATGACCCAAAATTTAGATACTTTGTTGATATATTATTATCACATGCATAGGATGGCTCTTCAGTAGCAGGATATTGACCCATCCCATAACCAATTGTTGAGGCTGTGCTATTACCACCAATAGTTGTATTGTAAACTCCGCTAACCGTTCTACTAACACTGACTAACGGTAACGGTCCTGAAAAATCATGACAGAAATGAAAATGACCAAAAATAATCACGAAGCATTATTTGGAGTTTTGTATTTAGTATCTGTGCCAACTCCTTCCTCATAAAAATTACATCTAACTATATTAATCAGCATCAATTTTAAATTTTCATTTTTCGATAGGTTATTGTAGTTACAGACTTGCTCTTATTCATGTTCAATTACAACATTAATTCTCGCCTAATACTATTTGAATGTTGTTTTACATGTAAATAACCTACTTGCAATTGCTGTCGTGTGGATGGAGGAGATCGATGATAAAGAGGCTGTTGTCGCAGTGGAGGTGGTGGAAGGATTCGATGATAGCGACGATAAAGGTGACGTAGAACTCGTTCGTGTAATATGAAAGGAGGAAGTTGATGATGTGGTAGTCCTCGTAGAGAAAAATGTTAATGTTGGTGTTTTTGTTGCTGCTTGAGTTTTACCATCAGGAACATAAACTACTAAAAGTGCCAAAATCATGAGAATCAATATCGTAAAAATAATGCATAATGCCAGACAAGCGCATCTCCTCCTTCGCTTCTCTGAATATCTAGTGTAAGAAAAATTTATAAAATATACATGTCAACTTAATTTAAAACACTCATACAATGGCTTTGATTGCACAGATGATGCTTGTGTCCACGCATCAAAATTATTTGATTGCATCTAAAATAATAAAGAATAAATACTTGATTATCTAAAAGTAAAGATCAAATCGTAATTATTCATTAATGTCATGTATTGATAGTGAAGAAAATAAGTAAAATTTCAAAAAAGAAACAAATAATACATATTTGATTTATTACATACATATCCAGTATAAATAGCTAATGACACTGTATTCTGTGTTCACTCGGTGTAAATACATGAAAATAGTTCAGCTGCACATCTGATTTTATTTTCCAGTAATCATATGAATATTCAAAAGTTGTTAAATAAAAGCATAATCTTGATCACAGCAGATATGGAATATATTGCGTAATTCAAACATTAACGAATATGTAATAAAACAATAACAAGAAACGATATTCACATTCAATTGTTTCCTGAAAGAATGAAAAACGTCATCTATTCCTTCTTAATTAAAGCCTAACTATTCCAAAAGAGAACATGTAAGTTATTTCTATGTTTTAAATATAAAAAACTTCAGTTCAGACTGATGAAAACGTGGATCGATCTGTTAAAATGGTCTTCTTGTAAAGCGTTTTATTTATTGAGCATAAACTTAGAATATAAGATATGTTTTCAGACGTGATGAAACCTGTTATTCTGACATATCATTCATATGATAGTACCACTATTTTCCCAACTGAAAACTTAACTCGTTTTTATTGTATGGATAAAAATGGCATTTCCACTAGCCTAAACTATTTCGCTGTTTGCAAAAATTGTAACAGAAGGGTTCCACTTTGCATTCATTTTACTTTCTCTAAGTGAATATTTTCCGTTTTCTATTAAACGAATACAGTAATTAATTTGTTTTTTGGTTGAACTGTAACATTATAGATTACTTACCCGACACTTCAGTCAGCATTATCCACAATTATGGACGCTTTCCATTAGGAAATGACAACATTAGTAACTAAGAATCGACTATAATGAAACTGATAATTGCGCCTTCTTTGTATGTTTCCTTTTTTCTTTGTTTTTCATCGGTTGATTATGTGTCCGTTATTTAATAAAATCATGTTTATCTACTTCTAAATAAGTCCTTTCAAATAATTTTTGCTTTTCTGCAGTGCATTTTGTGAGTGAATGTCATTGGATAAGGAATTTCACGATCATGTAAGAATTGCCAAGAATTTGCGATCGGTATTAAATATTGTTGACAAGTTGGGTAAGGATTTTAGAGCTTCCGAAATCATTTTTATTTAGATGATCAAGTTCAAGTCGATTCTAAACGATTCAAAATTATCAAATAGAATGATGAGTTCTCTGTTTATGCGTTATAAAAAGAAACTGATTGTTAAAGTTCCATAATTATTATGTAATCATTTTTATAGAAAATACAATTAATGTATTCCAAAAATGAGCAGAAAAGACATGATCAAATCAAGCCAATTCAATTAAGTTTTTCTAAAGTCATATGTTTGATTAAGAATTCCAGAAACAGCAACTTCTTTCCAGATTTTTTCTCAGAATCGTAGAAAAACACAAACGGAACCCTTTTTTGGACTGAGCAAATACATATACAGTAAAACTTCTCTTAGTGAACACCCCTCCGGGGTGAACGCCCTGTTATACTGAAATCAAGATGATTACTTTTTCTCATATGATTTTCTTAGTGTCCAAAATTCGAACATGTTGAGTATGCCGATTTTCCCTGAAATATTATAGTTTAAAAGCATGATCAAAATACCATATGATGTGTTTTAGCGTTTTCCGGGAAATTGAATATATTTCAACATCAATCCAATTTCCGGGAAACTCGATATATTCCGGATATCAGCTCAATTTACGGAAATTCAAAGTGTTTCGCACTACATAAGTGTAACCTTGCGATTCTATGTGATGAGGGTTATATCCGACTGAGGATGAAGGTTATCGATCAGAATGAACGTATACGGCATAATCAGCATGATTATGCCTTATATGCCCATTGTGCCCTATATACCTGATCTCATAAAAGCCCGTAGTATCTTTACTATGTATTTTCACAGATTGCAGTTTCCTTATTCCGTGTTTGTTTCAAAAATGGATTTCCCGGAAAGCGCTATAACGCATCAAATCATTATGAGAGATGCAGAACAAAAATGTATTGAAATGTATCCATGATATAAATATTATATTTTCTCTACCTGCTTTCTTCAGTAAAAATATACGTCACAGTTGAAAACGAACAATCAATTTTCAAATTGAGACGGTTTTTCCATAAAACTGTTCGTGTGATCCTTGTTTACATCGTTATTTAGGAAATGCAATGATAAAGCTTTGATCATATCATCAAATACTCGACAAAACTTGTAAATCTCTTTTCGAAGGTTAACATATACCTTTCCTCTTTCACTTTCAGTATGTTTTTTTTTTCATAATTATAAAAAAACCCAGTTAATGAAATCTATAAGATTAAAATCTTACAACGTCTTGGCATCTTTTTATACGATTTCATCAATTTATTTGATTGATATTCCTATTGTTCAGTTCTATTTTCTGCATTTTGCTAAAAAGTCTCGTCGTCAGATCGAATGAATACTAAATTTGCATAGTTATTGAGCCCTCATTCCGTATGATTTATCAACTTACACTTCTTCCAAACACTATTGAATTTGTTTTACATAATGAAATGATGAATATTATCTTTCTTTTATTAAAAATGTGTCAATTAATCCTAAAATAATCTTATTTTTAATTTGATGAAAGTCATGCGTCATAGTTATTAAATAACTGTTTAATGTCATTCTACATCTTGTGGGTAAGGGTGGGTTAGAACACTGTACCAGTGGTACCAAGACACCAAGTACATCAATCCAACACATCAAATATGGCCGTGTCCGAGGTGGGAGCCGAGCCCACGAGGATGTGACTAGTTCCCATAATCTAGATTTCACTTCTGCTAAGAGGATGAGATGCATCGTAAGGGGACGATTTCTTTTCATTCTTTTACCATTTAATATCGAAATCAATTAGACATTTTGAATTTAATCACTGAATTCTATTTTCGTTATTAACTCGTCTATAATGATTTTTCTTCAAATCACATCTTTTGATCACAAAAAAAAGTATTGCATTCAGATTTTCTTCTTTAAAAAGACAAATTCTTCAGATGATATTATCGACTCCTTAACATCCGAGTTTTTATTAAATCGATTTTGTTGAATCTGACAAGTACGTGAATTAGGAATAGTCTCAACGTTAATTTGAAGAGAACAACATATTTTATGCTTTTCGATTACGTAAAAGTTGAAGTTTTTTTCCTTTCTAGAATTGAAACTCCTTCATTTTATTTTCGATGACATATTCTACAAATACTCTTTCATCAACTGATTCTCGACGAAAAATTGCACCTGTCATCGGAATTGATAATTATGGTGAAGATTATCCGTTGAAAAATCCAAAGAATGATGCAATCAAAATAGCTTCTTTGTTCCAAACTATGAGATTCATGATTCATGACAAGTAATCACAATTAGATTTCAATTGTTCATTACGAATATTCGATCAAAGACAGTGATGTGGCTTCGTTTTGTTTTTCTGGTCATGAAATTCAGTTCGAGCTAAAAACAAAGAAAACATTATCGCAGAAGGGATTTTCAATTAGGGTGATAATTATTTGACTGCAGTTGGTTATTTCTGTGACGATTTCAGATACAACAGATCAGATGTGTTGAGTGTATCGTTTATTCAATCCAAAGGAATCGCACGTATGCTGTACTTTCCTCGTCCTTATATAGTTCTCGGTTCATACAGCATCACGCTACAGAAAAATACCAAACTCTTTGAAATAATATCTGCAATGATCTATCGCTATCACTCGGTGAGGTATTAGATCAGCCGAGAAATTCAAAACATATCCTGTATAGGTGTGAAGCTCAAAGGCCAACATCCAGGCCCAAAGATCGACATCTAATTACAAGCAGAAAGAAAGAAAACAAACGATAGTTGTATATGTGAAGAGGAAAGGAAAGAAGAAGAGATATACAATCATAGATTGGCACAGATACGATATTGATTTGGACTTTTAGAGCTTATATTTTCTGACAAAGAAAGACCCCAACATTGATGCATACGACAGTTCATTCTTGGCTTAAAAATATATGATAAAGTATGAGATAGTTGCTGCCAAAAGTTCCTTAATCGAACAATTGGGCGGTACATTGATTATTGGAAAAAAGAGGTGTTGTATCGACAGGTAAATCTTGTGGAGGATTAACAACCACATCAGTCGATTCTCTTGTTATCTTCGACTCACAACCGTTCAAGTTATGTTCATCGGATGAATGTTGTGGACCCATCCACAAATCAACATGATACTGTCTTTGATCCCATGCTCGTACTGCCGATGCACAAAGGTCTTCCATAATAAAATATTTTCTTAAGAATGGAACGTAAATCGTAGTTCCGATGTCGAGTTCACGTTCGTCTGTTGCAAATGTAATGGGATCTTCGTAAGTTCCTCGACCTTCTGTCGCTGAATTATGCTTCGTGGGATGACCACCGCTTTTTGGATAAGCAATTTCTGCACTTGGCGGATCGTTATCATTCCATCCGTAAGATGTGACACGCATTGGAATTGTTCGACCCGATCCACCCGATGTATGATCTGGGAAATTCAACACGAAGGGCGAATTGACAATTCATCATGAGTAAACTTTCACTTACGATGCTTTTCTGCTTTCCCTCTCGTGGGCAAATTTACTGTTTGACCAATTTGTAAATTCTCAGGTACAACATCAGGATTGGCAGTTAAGATTTCACCGAGAGGAATATCGTATTGTTTGCTGAGAGCCCACAATGTATCGCCCGCTTTGATCGTATATGTTTGCATGTATGCTACTGATCAATGCCACTCAGATCGAAATGAAAACATATTGTCCTGTGAAGATATGTGGTTATATACAGTCACATATGATGAATAATACATTTGAACGGACAGGGTTTTTTCCCTCATACGAAAATTCTCGTACACTGAAGAGTCAACAAAAACATTATTTGTAATGAAACATCAACTGTATGAATAGAAGTGTCACCAGCTTGTCGCTCTATCGACGCAATTCGCTTATTTTGACATCGTTTTCTTTATTACTAATATTTTTAGTATGTTGATTCATGATAGAAGACATATAAGTAACATGTGAATGTGGTGACTCTTATGTTTCACAGAAAAACCATATTGACGATGAGGGCAAGAGGGATAGAGTATAAGCGAGGTTTTCTGCGGATACGAATATATATCGAAACAGGAACATCCATACTGGAAACGAGTGAAATTCATGTTTGAGGGTGGGTGTGGGTGTGGGTGAATATATTGCACAACGATGCAAATAATGTTTTCATCGTAAGATTGATCTTACTTACAAAACTTGGTGTCTTGTTTCTTTCATTGGCAGAACACAACAAAAAAAATCTTTTATTTACTCAGGTGTCTTATCGTTTTTTTCTGTTCTATACGTTGCGAGTAAAACACATCGTGTTTTTTCTCTTACAGAAAGACGTCTCATCGATGGCTGCTGTCTCGTCTGGGAAGATACATTCTCTCATGATGGTCCTGTCGATCGAAACAAATGAGGGTGTGTGTGTGAGGGATGAGTTTACAATAGCAGAGGAATAATTCAAAGCAATCGTACGACGCGTTTCGTTCCAGTGCGAAAGAGATCATTGTCAGGCATGTTTTCGAGCTATTTAAAGCTAGTACTTATAGTTATACGGTTAAATCGATGATCACCATCAGTGGTAAGATCATTAGCCCTGTTTATATATGTCTCAACGAAGTAAATGGTCGAATGAGCGATAATATTAAAGCAAATCTTCCGCAGTTGAAGAATGCTGTTGTTACATGCAGCGCATCAAGTAAATTAGCTATCTATCTCATTAGTTGAATATTGGCATAATGAGTGTTTTATTCCATCACTGACATCACAGTCTGTACTATTTCTTTCTGATAGTTGGCTTGGACAGACATATGGAAAATGATCGTTCGTAGGGTTCACGAGTGTGTTCTTCTTGATGTAACAGATATTCATCTTGCACAACGAAACTAGTAACGCTCGTCGAAGCAGACTCGCTATGCCCTCGACTGAACCACTGACTGAAAATAAAATAGTCCTATGTGCGTTTTATGCAAAAAAAGACAGAAGTATAACCTTTGAAAGGGCCACCAGAGACTGATCTTCATTCGCCTCACAGTCTTCAAAAGAGTCAAAGGACTACTTGTGTTGCTTTTAATTATTCTATATTCCTGACTGACAATTACTCTTCACAGGAAGCAGAAGTTCGCTATAAATGGCTATTATGGATTTACACTTTTAAACATGTCCTCCTTTTTCTAAAAGAAAGATAATTTCGGTAAGACCAAATGAGACTCTGTATATATTTCGCATTCGAACGTGTCGGATTGTTGATACTTTGGTAACTGGCTAGATTACCAGGCGCAGCTCATTGTTCGTCGGCGCTCCACAGGGGCGCCACTCACAACTCGCCGCTCCAAAGCTGTCCCTGTCTATCATATAATTACGTGTGTGCTACTAAAAAGTAACGAAAATTAATTAGCATTCCATCAACATCTCATGGATAAGATTATCCTCGTCCGAACATTTGAGGTTATCTCCTTAACCCTCATACGCGCACTTNTTAATTGACCAAGCAGACTGACTGTTGACGGTCCATTGATAATAAATCGTTCCCAAGGAAGATCCATATTAGATTGTGATACTAATGCCGAATCCGGATCGATTCCAGCAATAGCATCTATGTATAGAAAGAAAAAAGTTAGATAAAATCAGTTAAGAGAAGATACACACTCGTTTCAGCAGATCGATGAATTCGGGATCTTTTCCAAAGTGTCAAACTTTTGTCAAATATGGAAGAATCCACCGCAGAAAAAATTATTAGTAATGCTAGCAAAATTATTTGCTCTTTATTTTTCGCTCAAAAACGAATCGGACTCACCTGTTAATGAACATACGAATGTAATTAGAGAACACATCTGAAAAGAATAACAAAAAATATTTAAAACGTAAGGATTTTCGATCATGGCACCATTGACAATGATAGGTAACGAGTTTTTTTCTCATCGGACAAACGAATAATATCCGATCTGCAAGAGGAACATCTATCACAACTAGTTACTACCTGAGGCCATTGATTCATGTCTACTTCAACTATCTTTTCAGTCCATCTTCAATCGATCAGTACGGATTTATACCGACAATTACAATCCTTTAATGGAAACTCATACACTCAACTAATAAACCATTCGATTGCATGAGATTTTCACGAAAAGATCAAGTTATTCATGAAATATATTGATTGATACTTGTGATCGTCTTTGAATTGATTTCAATCATTTATACTTCACATAAAAAAATCAATCAAATCACTATTCTTTCGAGTGAATTGACTGGCAAAAATTATTCGAAAGTAACTCCTATCCGTATTATTTAACATAATCGAATCAATGATACGCAAAATAAGTAATTTTCATATTTATGAAAAAAGTTTGATAAAGAAAAGTGTTGCTTTTCTGATTAGCATAATTTATATCAATGAGATGCCGTGAATAAATAAGTCAATTTATTGTTGATTTGTGCCGTCGAACAGAAGAATTTTGACGTAGCAATTAACTCTCACTGTTGTTTCAATCAGATGTTACCGATTTCTTCGATATGGAGAGATTTTAAAGAAGAATGCTTGCAAATTTATTTTGTCGTACACATTGGCTATTCTTGGGCCTGATTTCAGTAACCATCCGAGATCTTTCTTTCAAAAGAATAAACGAAACTATCGACTTGTAACAGAGCGAACATAATAAGTCCTTGATCGATTCCCATGCATAGAGTATTGTCCTGAAGGAAGAAAACATGTGGGTACATTAGAAAGTATCGCATTTACATTAATGATCGGAATAAATCAATCGAATGCGATGTATATTGAGTTGTTCTTGAGAAGCAGTTCTCGTGGCTAATTAGATTATTTCTACTGGAATACTGATTGATCAAGTACTGCATTCGTTCCTATATATATTGCTAGATTATTCAGAGAATATAATCCATTACTGCACGCCAGGCAATAATGAAATCTCTTGGAAACAGCGTAAAAATTGTTGTTCTCCTCATATTGATTGTCCATTCGCAAGCCGATGATTCAAGTTGGTATCAAACTTTTTTGAATGAACAAGTTGCTCCATCATATGCCAGTGCATATCAAACGTTGAGAAACAAAATTATCAATCCCTTATTGGCATATACGAATAGCAACTCAACTACAAATGGAACCGATGCAGCAGAAATTGTATCATTGGCACAAGGAGTGACATGTGCAGCAAAGGAACTTTATACAAGTCTGTCCAATGCATTGAATGCAAGTGAACAACTTAACACTATTGTCGAGAATAAAACATCGCAAGCCATATTAGAAGTCTCACAAAAAGAAAATGAAATTCGACAAGTCAACGAACAATTAAGCACGATTGAAGCTCGATTGACTGATGCACAAAATGATGTAAATCAAGCCGAAAATGATGTGAAAAATAAAGAAAATGAATTAGCTCAGAGTGATGCACATCTTGCCGAGGAGCTGCAAAAACGTAAGACGCACATTCATCACAACTATGGTTTTAATTTGTTGAATTTAAAATTTTTTTTAGTTGAAAAAGCACGAGTCTGTGGACTTAGAAAAAAACGATTCTTAGGCAAGGTAAGTAACTATTCTATAGTCTTCGAATGACAAACAAGGTTTTAGAAGAAGAGTTGAATTGATACCGCACACTTCGTGATAACTATTGAATAAGGACGTCATGTATCAGCAGTATTGTGTAAAAAACAGAGTTCGAAAATCCAAAGATGAATATTTTGATAACGAAACTATAATCTAGTTTATTGTCACATTTGAGATGATTTGAAATAAATCGAAGAATTATAGATTTATTTGTACTATTTCGTTTTTTCATCGTCCTGATCTTGAAAATTATAATATTTTGAAATCAAATGAATGGTAGAGTCAAGATATTATATTAGATAGGAGGAAATAATAATAGGAACATCCTAGACTTTTATGGAGATAAAATCAAAAAGATTAAAATATGAGACCGAAATAGAGAGATTGGTTTGTTTAGGTTTGGAGAGGAATTGTTCGTGATCCTTTGGACAACGTTCGGGACAAGATCATTAGTCCCATTGTTAAGCCTGTCATGCCCATTCTCAGTCCTGTTCTTCGTGTTCCTTGCGCAGCACTTAATTATGGAGGTATTAACAGTGCAAAAGATCGTCGAGGAGCTGCTCAAGGTGCAGTGAATGCAGCCAGAGAACAACTGGCTACTCGTCGACAAGAACTTGAGAGACNGCGTCCTAACCACAGGATTCCGATAGGCGGTTCTGAATGTCGGAATGATCACGATACTGCGGAATTCTGGAGAATCCGACACTTTCCAACATCTGGAGCCGCTTGTCGGAATCCTGTGGTTAGGTTTCCTGGAACTTCCGACGAATTCCCCATCGGATCCGATGGGCTGAGTTTGACCTGGGCTATGCTGTACTTTCCTCGTCCTTATATAGTTCTCGGTCCATACAGCATCACGCTACAGAAAAATACGAAACTCTTTGAAATAATATCTGCAATGATTTATCGCTACACTCGGTGAGGTATTAGGTCAACCGAGAAAGTCAAAACATATCCTGTATAGGTGTGAAGCTCAAAGGCCAACATCCAGACCCAAAGATCGACATCTAATTACAAGCAGAAAGAAAGAAAACAAACGATAGTTGTAGATGCGAAGAGGAAAGGAAAGAAGAAAAGGTGTACAATCATAGATTGGCACAGATAGGATACTGATTTGGACTTTTAGAGCTTATATTTTCTGAAAAAGAAAGACGCCAACATTGATGCATAGGACAGTTCATTCTTGACTTAAAAATATATGATAAGGTATGAAATAGTTGCTGTCAAAAGTGCTTAATCGAACAATTTGGCGGTACATAGATTATTGGAAAAAAGAGGTGTTGCATCGACGGGTAAATCTTGTGGAGGATTAACAACCACATCAGTCGATTCTCTTGTTATCTTTGCTTCACAACCGTTCAAGTTATGTTCATCGGATGAATGTTGTGGACCCATCCACAAATCAACATGATACTGTCTTTGATTTCATGCTTGTACTGCCGATGCACAACGGTCTTCCATAACAAAATATTTTCTTAAAAATGGAACGTAAATCATAGTTCCGATGTCTAGTTCACGTTCGTCTGTTGCAAATGTAATGGGATCTTCGTAGGTTCCTCGACCTTCTGTCGCTGAATTATGCTTTGTGGGATAACCACCACTTTTTGGATAAGCAATTTCTGCACTTGGCGGATCGTTATCATTCCATCCGTAAGATGTGACACGCATTGAAATTGTTCGACCTGATCCACTCGACGTGTGATCTGGGAAATTCAACACGAAGGACGAACTGACAATTCATCATAAGAAAACTTTCACTTACGATGCTTTTCTGTTTTCCCTCTCGTGGGCAAATTTACCGTTTGACCAATTTGTAAATTCTCAGGTACAACATCAGGATTGGCAGTTAAGATTTCGTCGAGAGGAATATCGTATTGTTTGCTGAGAGCCCACAATGTATCACCCGCTTTGATCGTATATTTTTGCATGTTTGCGATTGATCAATGCCGCTCAGATCGAAACGAAAACGTATTGTCCTGTGAAAATATGTGGTTATATACAGTCATATATGATGAATAATACATTTCATCGGACAGGGTTTTTTCCCTAATACAAAAATTCTCGTACACTGATGAGTCAACAAAGACATTATTTGTAATGACACATCAATTATATGAATAGAAGTGTCACCAACTTGTCGCTCTATCGACGCAATTCGCTTATTTTGACATCGTTTTCTTTATTACTAATACTTTTAGTATGGTGATTCATGATAGAATACATATAAGTAACATGTGAATGTGGTGACTCTTATGTTTCACAGAAAAACGATATTGAAGATGAGGACATGAGGGAGAGAGTATAAGCGAGGTTTTCTGCAGATACGAATCTATATCGAAACACGTACATCCATACTGAAAACGAGTGAAATTCATCTTGAGGGTGTGGGTGTGGGTGGATATATTGCACAACGATGCAAATAATGTTTTCATTGTAAGATTGATCTTACTTACAAAATTTGGTGTCACGTTTCTTTCATTGTCAGAACACAAGAGAAAATTCTTTTATTTACTCAGGCGTATTGTAGTTTTTTTGCTGTTCTATACGTTGCGAGTAACACACGTCGTAGTTTTTCTTTTACAGAAAGACGTCTGATCGATGATTATTGTCTCGTCTGGGAAGATACATTCTCTCATGATGGTCGTGTCGATCGAAACAAATGGCATTTCAACACTGATGGTGGCGACTGGGATATTTTAGTCATCTATGTCGATTTGTATAGTGTGTTCGACGAATCTTTTCAATATAGGTAATCAAGAAGCACAGTGTTACACTGATCGAACGGACAATGCGCAATATGAACATCGACGATTGGTGATCGAAGCACGCTGTGAAGACTATGGCGGCTGTCAGTATACTTCAGCACGACTTAAATCGAAGAGTGCTTGGACTTATGGACGTCTTCAGATACGATCGAGCAAGAGTTTCCTTCTCCTTTTTTTCAATTCAATCCGTTGTTTTAGGCAAAAGCAAAACTACCGAGTGGTCACCGTTTATGCCCAGCCATTTGGATGGCAAGTATCATTTAGCGATGTGCAGAATGTTTTCGCTCTTCACACCTGTGTGTAGCGGGGTGTGAGTGAGTTTACAATAGAAGAGGAATAATTCAAAGCAATCATACGACGCGTTTTGGCCCCGTGCGAAAGGGATCATCGTCAGGTATGTTTTCGAACTATCCATAACTGCATTATAAATTAATCATGTATAGATAATATAGAAGTCTCGAAAGACAACCGACAAAATCTCTACATAATATTAATTTAGAAGTAACGATCGTCGTGCCGACTCACTTAACCCTCGACTGTGACATGCTAGTGTTTCTTGTGTGTCGCTATAGGTTGACGAATTAATCTTGCAACTTTACATACGAGAAAACGAGTGAAAACGGTTTTGTTTACATATTTATTAATTTTCGAAAACTAAAAACTCGATTTTTCTCGTAAAATCAGTCAGAATACAACGTATTTATTATGGGGAACATACAGTATCATAAGCGCTAATAGACACATGCAGCATTTAAAAAAAATATAGAGATCGTCAGAAGTATTAAGCAAAGCGTCACTGTGTTTCGGTATATAGTTTATCTAGTCTTTCTGTCTCATTAACTTGCGGTTTGATTGGTTTCATCAATAAAGTTTTGTAATCGAAGTGTCTTAAAATAATCAGATCAGTCAAACGTTTCACTCGTGACAGTGGTACATGAATTGCGGCGATATCGTCAGTTCTACTTGGCAGTTTTAAATCAATAACAACATTATTGAAAGTTTGACCTTGATTTTTATGTGTTGTGATAGCATATGCAGGCACAAGTGGTAATGCACGTCTTTAACCGACAGAATTGTTTTCGAGCGTGATTTTAGTCTCTTATCTTTTGGTAGCACATCAGTAATATTAATATGAAATGTTTGTTCCAATAATGGTATTGGGATGAGATTTGATTGAAGTTCTTCGAAATTGCATTCAACCTTCGACCGGACAATTTCAATGATGGCGTACAATGGTTTACGGATATATCGTGTACCACAGGGGAATGTTTCTGAGATACTGTCTGTTGAAACAGAATCTTCTTCATAAACAATTTGTCGAAAGATCCCATTCATTTCATTGATAAGAACCAGTTCTATAGCAATATTTTGTGTTAAAATAACAGGTATTCCAGGAACTAAAGGCAGAAGACCAAGTAAATGCTCTGTTCTCCTATCAGATAACTCTAACAACTTTTTAACTAATTTTGGATCTTCAATTGATTCGCCTTTACAACTAAACCCCCTCTATAATAGAAGACCCCCCATAAGTGTTGACTTGAAGCACGTAATAAAGAACCCGGGTCTTCTAATATTATCTTGCGCCACTTATTGAAATTTTGTTTTCGTTGTTTGCGGGTTGGATTTTGTTCACTATACGATAAAGATTAAAATATCACGTCCGTCAGAAATGGTGGATACAATTCTATGTCATGGAGAACGAAAATTTCTTTTCAATAAAAACAAAGGAAAACAAAGAAGTAAAGATAGCTGTATAGTCTTTACCGACGATATATAAACCGTTGTAACTTCCATTTGTAACAATTTCAACATTTCTTATTTCAGAAATCAATTCAATATGAAAGAACATCTTGGATCACTTTGTCCATATGATTCAGATTCCGATGCCTCTGATGATACTGACAGTGATTCTAGCGTTGAAATTTCCTCCACAATTGATGAAACTCAATCTAAATTAGTTCAACTATCAGCGGATCTGAATATAGGAGCGGACAACAAAGATGAGGATGATACGAATTACCAATGGCCTGATCCAAGTCCATTATTAGAGTTATCTTCATCAGAAAATGAAGAATTAATTGATACTGAGCGAACAATATCCAGAGTTAAATCGAATACCAGTCCCATCAATCAAACAAACCAGAAGAAAAACAGAAACATAGACATTGGACCAAGGGGGAAAAAGCACTTGGTGAGTTTTTGAGTTAAAATGAGTTAAGGTGAGTTAAAGTAAGTTAGAGTGAGTTAAAGTGAGTTAAGTGAGTTACACTGAGTTAAAGTGATTTACAGTGAGTTACACTGAGTCAATGTGAGTTACACTGAGTTAAAGTGATTTACAGTGAGTTACACTGAGTCAATGTGAGTTAAACTGAGTTCATGTGATTTAAAGTACTGCAACTCACTTACTGTTATGAATAAATTTCCAGGGCCTTGCGCAACTCTGTCCTCGCATTCAGTAAACAGTTGAAGTATAGGATTATATTAGTGAAACTATTGATAAA